ACACTGTGCATATCCTCATCACTTTCCTCTGCACTGCCTTGAGAGCCCACTGGTGCTGTGAAGAAGCTTTTTTGGACAAAAGTTTTATTCTTATAGCCTGGGAACAGCCATCGCACACAATGATGAAAATGCATCAATCCAGCCAGCCAACCTCTGCCAAACCATTTTTCTTGATTAAATTTGCTCCCACCCTGAGGTGAGAATGACCCAATTAATTGAATACAGTGTACTAATTCAAACTAGTAACACATGAGATCTTTGCTGCCCGCTGTGAAATACTATAAACCCACATCAAAAGCTGCGCCTCTATTACACAGCTGAATAAAAAGGTGAAATATAAATGTAACTGTGAACTGCAGTACAGAATGGTGCAGTTTTGAACATGTGTTCCACCACCACACCCTCCTCAGAGTAATCAAGGACAGGCACTTAATGCTGGCAGCATCCACCACCTGGCAGTATCAACATGAAGCCCACCACCTGCTCCCTTGACCTCCTCGCTTCTTTACTCTCAGACCTCATCAACTTCTCCCTGTCAGATGGCACTGTTCCCACCCCCTTAAAAACAGCTGTTATAACCCCTATCCTAAAAAAACCTTCCCTGGAACCATCCCTGCTCACTAACTACCGCCCCATCTCCAGCCTCCCTTTCCTTTCCAAGCTCCTTGAAAGATTTGTTGCTTCCCAGCTTCACTCCTTCATCTCCTGCCACTCCCTTTACAATTCCCTCCAATCGGATTTCTGTGCTGCCCACAGCACGGAAACAGCCCTGGTCAAGATGAAAAATGACATTTGTCCACCTGTGACCAGGGATCCCTCTGTCTCCTCATCCTCCTCAACCTCTCTGCTGCTTTTGACACTGTGGACCACTCTATTTCCTCCACCGCCTCTCCTTTCACTTTAACCTTCAAGGTTCTGTCCTTGAATCATACAGATCCTATCTCTCACATCGGCTCCACTTTGTTTCCACAATTGGCTTCTCCTCCAGCCGATGCATTATCTCATGTGGTGTTCCTCAGAGCTCTGTCCTCGGTCCTCTCCTCTTCGAACTGTACATGCTCCCTCTTGGTGACATCATCCACAGACATGGGGTCAACTGCCACATGTATGCGGATGACACCCAACTCTATCTTTCTGTCTCCACTCTTGACTTCAGGACCACTGCTGTCCTGACAGAATGTCTACCAGACTTCAAGTCCTGGATGACAGCACGCTTTCTACAGTTGAACGTCAGCAAGATGAGGCTCTCCTGATTGGCTCGCACCTGCGCCTCCACACCTCAAGCGCTGGCAACTTCAGCATCCAAGGATGCACACTCCACCTCATCAAGCCAGTCAGGATCCCAGGCATCTTGTTTGACCCTGAACTGTCCTTTTTCCCCCACATCTGTGTCATGACCTGCTCTGCCTTCCCCCACCTCTGCAACATCATCGACTCTGCCAATGCCTCACCCCTCAGGCCACCAAAACCTCATACGTGCCTTCATTACAACCAGGCTCGACTATGCCAACACCCTGCTTTGGCCTTCCCTCCACAAGCTGCAGATCATCCTGAACTCATGTCCTCTCCCACATCAGACTCTGTGATCCCATCACCCCCACCCTCGCCTGGCTCCATTGGCTTCCCATCCCTCAGAGGATTGAATTCAAAATTCTCATTGTCACCTTCAAGGCCCTCCACGACCTTTCCCCCTCCTACCTCTCCGACCTGCTAACCTCTTATCAACCTGTGCACTCCCTCGCTAAGCAGACTCTGGTCTGCTCCATGTCCCTCGCCCGGCCCGCCCCTCCATTGGCGGTCGGGCCTTCAGCCTCCCTGCCCCCGCCCTCTGCATCTCCATTCCACATTCCCTTTGCCCCACTCCCTCCCTTGCCTCTTTCAAGGCACTCCTCAAGACCCTCCTCTTTGACCATGCCTTCAGCCACCCTCCCACCCTCTCTCCCCTCCACCCTCCCTGATCCCAATCCCCGTTTGCTCAGATCCTAATCCCTGATTGTCTAGCACATTGGGACATCCTCCCGACATGAAAGGCGCATTACAAATATAATTTTGTATTGTATTGTATCCAGCACCGTCCACATCCTGGGGCAGAATGTAATAAAAAAAAGACAGCATGGAGGAACTCTCTTGGAAAGTTTCACTTGGATTCCACACACTGTGGTTGTTCTGTTTTAAGTGTTGCCATAGAGAATTGGTGGAAATTGAAACAAGCCTTGAACACGAATAATAATAATCCTTGCATTTGATAAAACGCTTCATCACATCGTTGAGACGTCTTAAAGACCACTCGCTTTAACATCTCAACCAAAGGACAGCACCTCTAACAAATGCAACACACCTCCAGCACTACAATGGAGTGTTTTCTTAGACTATGTGATTCCAAGTCCCGACATGGGACTTGAACCCACAATCTTTTGACTCAGAGGTAGAGTGCTACCACTGCGGCAGCTTGACACACAATAAGACACAATAGCTCCATGCAAATAAGTGTGATTGCACCTGTGTGCTCTAGGGTTCAATCACGCTACAGTGACTTTGAGTCAGTTTCAAGTTCAAAACTAAAACCAGGCCATTCATAGTGACGCCCACCAAACATGACCTTGAACGGGACCTTGTGAGCACACAGCTATAAGTCTGATTCTTATTTTGGGCGCATTAGTCACAGATTGCAATCTCAAAGCTAAATGCTGGAAAGTTTTGCATATTCCCTGGAAAGTCTGGTCTGTAGTGCAAAGACATAACATGTAAATCAAGATTGTTTCTCAGTAATCGCAATGGGGAATTGCCAGTTCAAAGCCACAAGGACAACTGCATTGTGAATCTTGGGCTAATATGCATTTTTTATCCCTTTTATTAGTTAATGTGAGCATCTGATTCAAAACTACTATAATTGTGGTCATGCTGATCAATATTTTACACTAATCCAGCAAACATATGACGTTTCTTCATGAACATTTTTCTACATTATGCTTGAGTTTAACCTGAAACTACAGGTAACTTTAAAATGAGATTGTACATGCAATGTGAAAGCCCAGTTTTTGTACAGAAAGAGATTGCAGCTGTAAAAAGAACCCATGTGTTTAAGGCACATGCAATGTGACATGCCACAAGCCAAGTCAGAGTAATTGGTGTTTTTTGGAGTTTTTGTTGGTGCACATAAAAAACATTTTGAATGTGCAAAAGAAGAATGACCCATTATTGTGGAGGATTGTTGATCAGGTCACTGGGAGAAACTCGAGTAGCGCACGTTTCCCAGTGTGAAAGGCACTATACAAATGTACAAATACAAATGCATTATTGTTGTATGTAACTTGTTCACCCGTTACTGTGAAGCACTCTGAGACGCCGTCCGGCATGGAGGGCACGATATAAATCCAAGTTGTTGTTGTTGTATATTCTTACAATGTTACACATTAAGATTGCATGTATTGCTTTCGATATCATCGTCTGCCCACTTAGAGAAAACATGAGCCAGGCTTAGACCAATGTGAGACAAGTTATTTTTATTCGATGGAATGATAAATGGAATTTTGTGATATACTGTATGTTTTGGAATAGTAATCCTGCTCAGAACAATATAGAGGTATACAAAATGTTAAAGGGTAAGCTGAGATTGTAGATGTTCGCCCACACCATTTTCTCTTTACTGTAAGGCCATGTATTTTTGCCATATTATTGTTATTATATTATAATGTTGGGCAGGAGTGAACAGGTAATAACATTTTGCTGCCATTCCTCAAGCTGCAATGTGATCTTTGAGCTTACGAAATATAACGGAACATATTATTCAGAGCACAAGCTATATCAGGGTTCCTTTTGCGCAGCTTTGGCATATGAAACGTGGTTCCAGACAATTGGTTTTGTCACTTGGCAAAGAAAATAAATAATTCAAAAGAACACAGCCTAAAGCCACAGCTAACAAATTCCATAGATTTGTGTCTTACCCAGTGAGGGCCCAATATCAACAACCCTGAACAACCTTTCAAATCAGAAATAGCAAGTTTAAAATAACCTCTTTTTTTGTTCATTTTGTTCTTTGGTATAATAATAATTTAATATATAATTTTATAAACATATATGTAAGATATTTAATATATATTTTACAGCACAATAGTTTTGAAACTAAAGATTTGCCAAGTATCACTCGTTTGAATTTTGTTTATTTGATTGCTTTTTAGCCACTGCAGCAAACTCCCGGCTTATTGGACCTATGGGTATCCGGAGATTGGAAGCTCAGCAGCCCAAGCCTGAAACAAACAAAAATGGCACGAAAGGCGCAGGTTGGCAAGAGCCAAGGCTTGGGGACTCCAGAGTTGTTGTTGCAGTCGAAAATCTTTGCACAGGAAATGTCCATTATTCTTCCTTCTCTTCCCCCCACCTTTCCCCTTTCCTTTCCCTCATACACAGTTCCATGAAGTCGTCAGGGTTACCAGAAATTATATGTTTGTAGCCCAAAGTCAACCAAAAAGTAGTCCAAAGTCACCCAAAAAGTAGTCCAAAGTCACCCAAAAAGTAGTCCAAAGTCACCCAAAAAGTAGTCCAAAGTCACCCAAAAAGTAGTCCAAAGTCACCCAAAAAGTAGTCCAAAGTCACCCAAAAAGTAGTCCAAAGTCACCCAAAAAGTAGTCCAAAGTCACCCAAAAAGTAGCCGGAATGCGACGAAACTCGCCCAGAGTCAGCCCAAAATAGCCCGAGGGCGCCCAAAAAGTAGCCCCAAAGTAGCCCGAGCCTCTGAGCTCCGCGCTCCGGGGTCGCAGTGTGGCCGCGAGAGACGAGCGCTTTGGAAACTGTGTCGGAAAAGGTCGTCCAAAGGGGACGGAAGATACGTTTTGCAGATTTAAATGAGACATTTTAAAATCAGACACCCGCCCAAAGCCGTGTCGCACCCACACACACCCACCCCACACCCCGGCAGCGGGAGCGCCGCTGCCCACGTGGCCGGTTTAAAGGTCCGCGCGGGGGAGGTGTCGCGGGTTGATGACGCGACTGGATGACGCACGAGGCTGTCGTCGCCGGTTGATGACGAGTGGAGACAGCACGCGGCGGTTTAACGGTCAGCGCCATGGTGAAGCCACAGTACAAGGGGCGCTCGAGCATCAACCCCTCCGCCTCCAGCTCCAACCCCGGTAAGTGCCCCCCCCACCCCCCCGGGCACAGCTCAACCCCCAGCGCTGCCCGGCCCGGCCCGGCCCGAGGCCTCAGCTCCCAGTCCCGCACCAGGCCCGGCCTCTCGCCCCCTCCGCCGCCGCTGCTATGGTTGGAGGGAGGAGGGGTGTTGGGTGATGTGTTGGGCGGTGTGTGTTGTTGGGGGGGGGTGTTGTTGTGGGGGGGGGAGGGTGTGGGGGTGTGGGGGGGGGTGGGGGTGGGTGTGGGGTGGTGTGTTGGGGGGGTGTGTGGGGGGGGGGGTGTGTGGGGGGGGTGTGTGGGGGGGGGGGTGTGTGGGGGTGTGTTGGGGGGTGGGTGTGTGGGGTGTGGGGGAGTGTTGTTGGTGATGGATGTGGGTGTTGAATGTGAACAAGACTGAGGCCCTCCTGATTGGCCTCAGCACCTCAGGCTGTGGCAGCATCGCCCTCCATGGGTTGTACCCTACAGCTCACCAACTCATCGCCAGTCAGGAACCTCGGTGTCTTGTTTGATCCTCAACTGTCTTTTCTTCCCCACATTCAAGCCCTGACCCGCTCTGCCTTCCCTCACCTCCGTAGCATCGCCCGACTCCGCCACTACCTCTCCCCTCAGACGCTGAAACTCTTGTTAATGCCTCCAGGCTCAACTATGCAAACTCCCTGCGTGTCGGCCTTCCCAACTCCTCCCTCCACAGCTGCAGATAATCCAGAACAACGCAGCCCATGTCCTCTCCGGCACCAAACTCCGTGACCCCATCTCCCCCATTCTTGCCCGACTCCATTGGCTCCCTATCCTTCAGAGGATCCAGTTCAAGATCCTGGTCCTCACCTACAAAGCCCTCCATGGCCTCACCCTACCCTACCTCTGTGACCTCCTAACCCCCTACCAACCCGCCCGCTCCCTCCACTCAGCCGGCTCTGGCCCGCTCCACGTCCCCCGACCCACCCACCCCCACCATTGGCAGGAGAGGCTTCAGCCACTCTGCCCCCAACCTCTGGAATTCCATCCCCCAGTCACTCCGCCTCACCCCCTCCTTAGCCTCCTTCAAGTCTGGCCTCAAAACCCTCCTCTTCAACCGTGCCATTGGCCACCCCCCTCTCTTTCTCCAGCTCGGGTCTGAAATGCTGTACGCTGTCCAGCGCCTTGGGACATCCTTCCGATGTGAAAGGCACTATACAAATGTAATCTTGTTGTGTCGGGATGCGCTCCGGGACCCTACCCAGCATGAATGGAGCTATATAACAACAACAGCTTGCTTTTATATAGCGCCCTTCATGCGGGTTAGTGTCCCGGAGCACTTAACTGCAAGTTGTTATTGTGTGTCTCTCTCAGACCTGGTTTGGAGCTGAACTGGCTCCAAGGTGAAATGTTTGGCAATGGGATGTCAGAATCCAGCCCACCCTCTGTGGCAGTCTCGCTAGTCTGGTTCCTGAGCCAGGCTGGTCCGCGGTAGAACTTGGAAGGGCAGACCAGCTAATGCGGGTAGAGGGCTCATCCCACTTTGTTACAGTTAACCCTGCAAGCCAAAGCTCTAACTAGTCCTAGCTGGACAAGCAGCTGGAAAGCTTGCCAGACAATCTCAATGGCAAGCTATATGGTTTTAGCTGGTTAGACTTCAAGATCCTCACTCTTGTGTTCAAATCCATTCACTCCCTGGCACCTCCCTACCTCTCTGACCTCCTCACTTCCCAATCCACCACCTGGCGCCTCCTCTTGATTGGCACCGGCCTCCTGCTCATCCCTTGCACCCTCCGTCCTACCATCGGAGGTCGTGTTTTCAGCCACTATGCCTCAAAACTCTGGAACACTCTCCCTCAATTCCTCTGCCTTGCCCCCTCTCTCCCCTCTTTCAAGTAATGCCTGAAAACTTTCCTCTTCGACCGTGCTTCTGGCCACCTCCCCCCGGCTCGGAATCAGGCTCCGCCAATGTTAAACGCTCTGAGATGCTACGCTGCGTGGAGGGCGCTATATAAGTGCAAGTTGTTGTTGTAGACTCCAGTAGTACGCCAACGCACACTCTGGGGTCCTCAAGTCTTGGCTGTTGCTCAACATTTCCCATCCAGAGACCCAGCACCAGCCTGGGCCATTCTCTCCCCAGCCACTTGCTCCTTACCCCCCTCTGCTATGTGTCTGTGTGTGTCTCTCCGATTTGGTTTGATGGCACTTACAGCACTTCTGGTTGCTGGTGCAGTCTGACCCGGGAGTGACCAAATCTAGTTCCTGTGAAGGAGAGAGAGGGGGTGGGCAGGGCTGCATTATTTACCCTCTAGATAAAAAAAATTCCAGGTATCTGTTCAGAAATTGCCCTTTGTAACTCTAAACCTATGTCCTTTTGTTCTTCCCCAATCGGCAATCGAATGTCAAAATTTCAAGCAATATCCTAGATGTGTAATTTTAGTCTGTTGACCTGAACAAGAATTTAATTTTACTTAAGGTTAAGTAGCAGGAAGAAAGAATTGACATTTGCAGTGTGTCAATTTCTTCAGTACTGGCTGATTTTACTTCCAAGAGGATGATTATTCAGTTCTACCAATCATTTCTGTTATGAATTTATTAAACTTTTAGGTTGTCGCAAAACATTGCGACAGTATACATTGTGGATGGGAGTCACATTTGAAATTCCTAAAGGAAGAATAAATAAATGTTGAAAGATAATGTGGGATCAGCAACATCTTCTGAAAGCAATTGAATTGTTGACAAACTGAATTTTAATTAAAAGTGAATAGTTAATAGCTTCCTCCCATCAACTTTCTATATTGACAATATAAAAGCACAATTCATTTTTATAAACGTATTGTTATGGTTAGTGTTTATATCAAACCTGAATGTTAATGTGGGTCTAGAAATTTGTGAGTCTTTACCTTTTGGTTGAAGAGCATGCTGTAGTTTTCACAGATTACTTGTGAAGTAGCCAGGTCCTTGGAACTTCACTCCAGGAAATAATCTGACTTGGGAGAAGAAAAGAGAAATCATTTACAAAACAAACTTTTAAGAGTTTTGTTAATCTGAAACCAATAAATAAAACACAACAGTCACCCCAAATACCTTAAGAATTCTTGGTTGGTTTGTAGAAATTGATGCACTGACACATTGATCTTCCTTTTTCCATAGTGCTAAAAGATTTTTTAAAAAAGTCAGCAAGTGCATTCACAGAGCAGACGTATCCTTGCCTATACTATGCACAGGGCTTTTTCGATACTGCTCAATAGTATGTCAATAGGGGTACCTCCAAAAAGCACCCGAGTTGGGAGGGCAGGGGGCAGATTAGTCAATGCAGGAGAGTTGGGATGCTTTTCAGTGATAAAAGTGTAACAAGTGAGCTTAGGAGGATACCTGAAACTGAGCCTCTACCCAGCCACAAATTATTTTGCTAATGATTGTGCTTATTGTAACTGATTTGAACAACTGTTTTTGGATGGTCTGACCCAAAATGCTAAAATCCCTGAGGATGCTGTGATGTGAGAATTGAAAATAATCCTCTTTGACCGAGCCTGCAGTAACCTCCCTCCTTCTCCTGTCTCGGTGTCATGCTCCACCATTGTCAGGTGCTCTGGGACGCTACCCTGCATGAGGAGCGCAATATAAATGCAAGTTGTTGCTGTGGAAAGTTTTTTTTTAAAAGGAAAGAAAGCTGATTAGTTATGTGGTGATGTTTTTACATTAAAAGTATTTTTTTCCATTCAAATGGTGCAATGGTTATGATCTTCACACGTCATATCATCTCTGTCAAGAATCACACTGAGGATAGATAACAGTCTTTAAAATCCTCTTTTATAGTATAAATCTAACCAAGAATATTAGTTAATTGTCACATAAAATGATACAGCACAGAAATGGGCCATTCAGCTCAACTATTCCACATCAGTCTACATTATATGGTCTCCACATTTCTTGTTCCCCTCTCCTACATCCCTCTATTTTCTTCTCTCTCGTGTATGCATCAAGTTTCCTCTTGAATATGTGTTGCTTTTTGCTTCAGTGTCGCTGTTTTTCTTGTCAGATCGGCCAAAATGTGGGAGCCACATGAGGGACAGGGCGACAATCAAGCGCCTGAATATGTACAGGCAGAAAGAGCGAAGGTAAGCACCACACAACTATCTGCTGCAACAATTAATATCGTGCAGCTAAACTGCTCAGCTGCTGTAGCAAGATCCTGTGTGTGTGTGTGTGTCTTGCAGGTGGGAGTTAGCAGGACTTAGTGTCTCAAGGCATGTGATATCAACTGAACAATTTTCCATGGGATAAGCTGCAGAACTAATGACAGTGATGCTCTGAATTAACTACTTGGAACTTTTGTTCATGTAGGAAGTGCTGAGTGAGGCTGGGCGCTTCCACACAGAGCACAGCCACGAGGAGAAATGGACTTTGCAGCTAGATCAGAACAGCAAAGAGAATCACTGAACTGCAGTGGGATAAATGGAGGTTGTTCTTGTATATAAAATGAAAAGAATAACAGAGTGGTGTGTTTAAAATGCCTGTTTTATTTTCTTGGGTATTGATAATGAAGTTCTATTAAAGCTAAATTCAGCAATGGCCTGCTTACCTATAGTTTTTTTTTCCCGAAGTCTTGTTAAACAAGCTGCAAGCCTTCTGGAAAATGGTTCGCCATTAAAATAAACAGTTTTCCCTTTATTACATTGTTTATATTTGGTTGCATCATGTTTGTCATGAATACAAGAGACAACTCTGCATTATAAGTGTGCAACGCTGTGTGCTTAAAAGGTAATTTTTATATTTTCCACTCTCCTTCCTGTTAAGAAACAATCGTGGAAAGATCATCAAGCCGCTACAATTTCAGTCAAAAGTTGACCCCGGAACAGTGGCCCGAGTGGAGCCAAATATAAAGTGGTTTGGTGAGTTCATAGTTTCCATGCAGTGGGAAAGAGAGAATACAGCTGATGTTTTCAGAACTTGAAAATAAGGCTTTACCTACTTGAACAATAGAAGTATTTATACATGTGGATGTGATAGATTTGTTGGGTACCCGAGTTACTGGGGAAACTCGATCACTGGATTCTTCTGTTATGATGGCTGATTTGTCAGATATAAGTATTTTCTTAGTTTATCTAAGTGAAAAACTTGAATGCTTTCTCTAATGCATGAATAAACACAAACATTTCTTCAAATGCTAACTTTAGGGCATTTTGATCTGATAGCTTTTTTCTCGTTGTCTGTTATTTTTTGCAGAATTGCCTCATGGCTGGGTTATGGTTTATAAACTGGTACAAAAGAGGTTTATGTCTTGGTTTTAACTGATTTGAGTTTGTAAGTAACCTAATTGACCTAAGCATGATTAAATTGGTAAACTACTGTGTTCCTAAACCCGCTGTAACACTCTAAAACACACTTTACAATAAATCTGAAAAGCTTTGAGACTCCCTTCCAATGTGAAAGGCAACAACAACAATTACATTTTTATAGCTTTCATGTTGGAAAGACGTCCCAAGGTGATGAAAAGTCAAGGGTCTGCACCCGAGCTGGAATTAAGGGTGGGTGGAGGATAGGGGGTGGGAGGGTGGAGGATAGGGGGTGGGAGGGTGGAGGATAGGGGGTGGGAGGGTGGCCGAAGGCACGGTTAAAGAGGAAGGTCTTGAGGCGGGCCTTGAAGGATGCGAACGAGGGGGGCAAGGCGGATTCCGGGATGGAGTTCCAGAGGATAGATCCCGAAAAGCTGAAGGACGACTGATAATGGTGGGACAGGCAGGTCAGGGGGATTGCAATGGCGGAAGCGGGCCATGTTGTGGAGATAGGGAAAGGAGGAAGTGGTCATGGCATGGATTTGGGGTTTGAAGGATCATTGAGGGTTGAACAGGACACCAAGCTTCTGTACTGGTTCTGTGAGGTGTGGAGTGCATCCATGGATGGTGATGCTGTCAGAGCCTGAGGTGAGAAGGTGCTGATGGGAGCCAAGCAGGAGATCCTCTATTGTCAACGTTCAACTGGAGAAAATAGCTCTCATCCAGCACTTGATGTCTGGCAAACAATCTGCCAGGACAGCAGGGGTTCTGGAGTTGAGGATAAAGGCAGAAAGATAGTGTTGCATGTCATCCACATAGATGTGGAAGTTAACTCCATACCTGTAAATTATATCACTGAGCGGGAGCAGTTAATTGCTAAAAGAGGAGGGAACCAAGGATGGATCCCTGAGGAATGCCACACATGACTTTGTGAGTGCTGGAGGAGAAGCCATTAGTGGATACAAAGTAGAGACCAGGCAAGGACAGAACCATGAAGGCGAATCTGAGAGGAGAGGTGGTGGAGAAACTTTTGCAAAAATAAAAGTGAGAGAGGTACATAATACTGGAATGTTTTTCCTTTGTGAACAGCAAACACTCGAGTCATAAAGCAGTCGTGCCTTCAAACGTTCCAAGATGAGATGGGCAAAGTGGTGAAAGATCCTTACAGAGTAGTTATGAAACGGACAAAGCTTCCGATGTCCCTTCTGAATGACCGAATCCAGCCTCATGTAAGTCACTAACTTTCTTTCCCTGGTTATAAAGGAGGTGATTTTAGGCTGGTATCCAGGAATTATCAGTTGGTAGCTGTCCTTTCAGCTTTTGATAATTTTGTTTGAGTTTATTGGTGCTTAAATTAATGTTAGTAATAGTCCAATATTCAGATTTCCTGTCTTGTGCATCAAGTCCAAACGCTGTAAATGCTAGCAAACAGTTTGCTGTGTGCCCAGCGGATTGATCATTTGCAAGTGCTATTTATTTTTGCAGTACAGACACAAATACAAAATTCTAAACTGGTCAAGTTTGCCTTTGTGATCGGTTAGTTATTTTGCAAGGTAGGAACCCAATCCTGACAGGAGGAAATATTTTAAACTTCCGCCAGTTTTCAAATTAAAACTTCTCAGATTTTTCTTTTGCAATCCAGACATTGGCATCCAGTAAATACTACTTTAATGAAGCTGCTCTGATTATTTTATTGATCAATTCCAGGGGGGGGAAAACACACTTACTTCCATATTAAACTTTATGTACGTAGAGTTCTGGGCAGCATTGCGTGCACACACAACGCACACACAAGTATTTCAGGTCATGAGTCTGGCTTCCAGTGTTTAATTTCAGAATTTCAAATCAGAACAAGGATAAGACTACAACATTCATAGACCTTGTTAGATGGTGGCAAGCAATGGTTGGCTAATTTTGACATTGTCTCTTCCCCACAAAGAAGACTCAAATAGTTACTCGAATATTCTGCCCAGCCACGATCATGACATCAAAATCAACAAATATCAAATGCTGGTGGCATATTTGGATATTGATTTAGAAGGGAGCCTGCTGTTTGGGAGCTGAATGGCATTTGCAGACTGACATAAACCTGAGGATGATTATCATCGTTGGGCTCAGTACCATTAGCTCCTTCCAGATGATTCACTTGGTCTATAATTCACACTTACTGTTTTTTATTTTTTTTAAAAAGTTTAAATGTTGGTAGATCTGAACATTGTAAATTATTTGCAATTATTTTGCACCCCATTAAACTTCAATCTTTCCAAGTGCAAGCACTGTATTATATCATGACAATACTTTATATAAAAAAAATATACTTGAGCTTTTTTATTACTTACATTGATCTTATTTTTTTATCTTGCTATTTTGGCTTCTTTACCTGACCCCCAAACCCCGTGTTATTTCTTTGTTGTCTATCACTTACAATTGAAAACAGAATTCCCACGAGTACAAATTGTAACTTTGTTTTGGTTTCTAGGGTCAGCCCCGGTTATTATAGAAATCCATCCCCTGCTAATCGTTTTAGATTAATTTTGAAAGTTTCTGCACACAATAAAAAGGTGATTGTAAAAATTCCTTCCAACTTGAGCTACACCAGATGGAGAAGTCTTAAAATTCCTGTGGTGTCCCTGGCACTTAGCTTTCTCTAGTTAAGCCTTGAGAATTCTTCCTGCACGTTTCTTCACATTTGTGTCTTAAATAACAAGTTCTCGTGCCCAGAACATTCATCTTGTTTATGAAGAAAAATAACTTTCCTCCCTATGAGAAGATGTATTAGATAGAAATGGGAGATCATAAATAATTACAAATTTAATTTGAAATCCGTTATGCCTTCATCATGGTCAGATTAGACTATTCAAATACTCTGCTCATTCAGATCCCTTCATGCCCTGGCACCTCTTCGACCTGCTTACACCCCACTCCACCACCTGTCGCCTCTGTTCGGTTGGCTCAAGCCCCCTGCTTGTCCCTCATCCACTCCACCATCGGTGGCCTTGCTTTCAGCCATTATGTTCCAAACTTTGGAACTCTCTCCCTTAACCCCTCTATCTTGCCCTCTTCTACTCCTTTTTAAGACATGCCTGAAGATCTTTCTCTTCAATCATGCTTATCATCACCTCCTCTTTTCCTCTGTCCCCACCCTACCTCTGCAATCCTACCACCCTGGCCACTCTTTCTGCTTGTGAATGCCACCCTGCTTCCATGTTCCCCCACCTGATCCAATTTGTTGGGTGAGCTTTTAGCCATTCTGCCCATTGTCTCTTGGAACCCCAGCCTGGAGCCCTCCAGCTCACCCCATCCCTCTCCGCATTTAAAGCTCACCTTTATTTTCGGTCGTGTTTTCGATTCCTAGACAGGTCAAAACCTTAAGACAAGTTTCCTTGCACCACACACCTCTGTTTACCTAGCATAGGTATAAACCCGGTTGTTAGTCTATTGGGGGATCACCAATTGACAATAATTTGGTCACTTGATTTACGACGGTTTGTGGGACACTAATGTGGCAATTGGCTGCCACGTTTCGCCCACAAAGTATACAGTTAATTCATTTTGCAGTATATTCTATGAAGGGCTTTGAGATGTCTCGAAGACGTGTTAAGGCACTATATCAAATATCAAGGATTATTATTAGACTGAACAATGAGTGTTGGCTGACTAATTGATCATCAGAGGCCTCATTGCAAACCCAATCCTCTCTAATCTGCTGTTAAGAAACAAATGCGCACGCTTTTTACAGCATGGATCATTGGCTAATATTCGGGAGTGTGAAATCTGGTTTACTGTTTCCTTTTTAATACGAGTTTTGGATTGCTGACAATAGCGATGTCCATGCTCCTGGCACAGCTGCAAGCAAGTAACTGGGATCTTCCTAGCCTGGTACATGCAGTGTATTTGCTCACCGAACCATTTAGAAGGAGTCCAACATTAAGCATTTCACCGTTATAACAAAATGATGATGTTTTGGATCTTTAAAGTAATAATATCTATTTACAGAATTCAAAAGTGCACATTCTAGATACAGAAACATTTGAAACAACCTTTGGGCCTAAAGCACAGCGGAAAAGGCCGAATCTCGCAGTGTGTGACATGCAAAGCCTGGTGGAAAAGACAGAAACATTGACAAATGAATACAGCCTAGAAAAGGACAGAGATCTGGTAGTGGAAGATACTGGAGTAAGGTGAGCGAGCAAATACATATATTTCAAATGAGATGCAAAAATGCAGTTACAGTTGAGAGCGCACCTTAATTGGCACCAAGCCAATTGTTAATTATGAAGAGTACAAATAACCGTTCTCATGTACGTTTGAAATGCTGCATTAGGGGTGTGTGTCTCTCTCTCACTCTCTCTTACTCTTGTCTTGCTAACTATATGTAGGTCAATATCTACCCATGTACATACCATATCTCTATCAACCGTTATCAAGAGAAATTCCTTCCTTTGGAGCAATGTATGCACCTAAATGTTTTCGCCTTGCAAGCGAGACACCTGGGTTCAATTCCAGGCAGGGCGAAACCTTTGGCAAGTTTCCTTACTCCACAATAATCCCTCCAAAACAAAAAAACTATAATAAATTGGTCATTTTCAGTCCACGACTGGCTGCTGCATTTCGCCCACAAATATACAGTCAATTCACTTTACAGCATATTCTGTGAAGCGCTTTGAGACATTAGAAGATATGAAAAGCGCTATATCAAAAATGCAAGGATTATTATTATTAACATTGAAGTTCTGGAGGAGCTCTACCATTGACAAGTTGAACACCATGTGACCATCTTTATCCCTCTCCACCCATCGGCCCCCTCTCCCAACTCGGGTGCAGAACTTGCACTGTCCAGTGCCTTGGGAAGTCCACCTGATGTAAAAGGCAGTACATAAATGTAAATTTCTATTGTATTCGTCAATATCGCAACCCAACTTGACATCTGTAACAGGCCTGTGATGTTAATAAAGTTTCCTCTGATATTCGTAAGTATTCCGTGTTTAAAGAAAACAATTCAAAAAAGAAACCATAATTAATGCAACTTTATTTAATAGATTTATGAATAGTATTTGTGATTTTAGATTTCTGGCGATGGAGATTTAATCTCCATCCTTTGACGTCCTTTCCCCCACAAAACAAAAAGAAAAGTTTTTTTTTGGTCAGCCGGATTGACACCGCGGAAACCCATCACCATGCTTAAGAATATCCAAACCAAATAGAGCTCCATGCACCTACACATGGAAATTCCCAAGATGTTTATTGGAATGAAATGCATACTGTCTCATTGGAGGGGAACATCCTGCTTACCTAATTCCAGAGTGTGTTAGGTGCAGGTTGCCGAGAGCCCAGGCTTCGGACCCCAAAACACGCTCTGGGGTAACTGCTGAAGTCTGAATGCTAAAACCGCATAGTTTGCTATTAAGAGCACTGTCTAGCTAGAATTCCCACTGCTTTTCCCAGTATGACCACCTTACTCATTGGGAGCTTTGCCTTGTAAGGTTCACAGAAGCTGAATGAGAAGAATCCTTGCCCATACCATTCTGCCCTTCCAAGACCTGCCGATGAGCCAGGCTTGCTGTGCAGTGCCCTGGAATACTGCGGACCCGCCTGGCTCCAGGACTGGATTACGGAAACCAGCACAAAGTTGCCAAATATGTCATGAATAATGAAGTTAGTTGCTAATTGTGTGGACATTAATTTTGTTTAGAGATGAAGTCCGAGAAGAGATCTATAAAAAAGGACAGTCTAAAAGAATATGGGGTGAACTGTACAAGGTAAGCATTTTGCAGATCTCCTTATTGTAGCAATGTAATTTTAAATTGAACCTTAACTTTACCAAATGTAAATGGAAAGTTTCACTGTACACTCAGGAAGCAAGGCTCTGCCATTATTTCCTGACTAGTTGCTCTCATATCATGCTTTGCAAGTTGTAAAATGTTTTATTTCTATGCGACTTGTATGTCAGATTTTATGTAATGAATTGTGTTCGTCATCTGTGCCAAGCGTTAAGTGTCAGCCTGGTTTAGTTGGCAGCACTCTCGCCTTTGAGTCGGAAGTTTCGAGTGGATTCAAGCTCCATAACTGGACTTGGAACTCTCCTTCTAAACCAACACTCCAAAGCTTTGCTAGGGGAGCGCTGCATTGTTGGAGGTGCCAGTTTTCAGATAAGAAGTTAAACCGAGGCACTGTCTGCCTTGCCTGTTGAGGTGGACATTGGAGATCCCATGGCAGAAAGGAGACGGGAGTTTCTCCCAGTTTCCTGGTCAAAATTCTTCCAGATGAAAATTGGTTGTTCCCTTCATGAGTGCTTCTGGGGCATTGATGTGCTCAAATTAGTTGCCCATTTGCTTATAAATACAGTCACTAAACTTCAGTAAAATACTGTGAAGTGCTTTGAGATATCTCAGCATGATAAGATGCTGTATCAAATTCAAGATTATTATTAAGTGTAATTTTGGTACAAGTATTTTTTAAAATCTGTTTTACTAAGTAGGATTCAAGTACATTTTATGTTGCAGAAGAGTGCAATTAGTTATATGGTCTTTTCAAGTTACCTGTCAAGGTTATTTGGGAATTGTAGATTTTATTTTCTCTCTGACAAACTCAAGCTTTCTGATCCTAACTTAAATCCTAGTTTTGAAAATGCCACGCATTGGAATATTATACCCAGAAGAACTCTTAATTATTCCAGTCTAGTTTCAGTGCTAACTTTTTCACTATACAAACTCAGTTGACTGTATCTGTAAAGACTGAGAGGTTGATCATTCTAGTATGGAGCGAGCTGATTTTCTACCTACTTCCCAATGTATTTTTTTGACTGAGCAGAAGTATGTGTTTCAAAACAATTACTTGAGAAGCAAGACTGCCCTCTTTATAATTTAGGAACTGAACTTAAGTTTGGGGCAAGTTGCAAAGTTATTTTATTTCTTTTTACATTAAATACATTATCCCTGGTTTGCGCAAAGGCTGTTTGTATTTTCCAAGTATAGCAGGTTAATAAAGCAGGTTAATTTTAGACTTTTTAGGAATAAATGTGAGGTACTTTCAAGGATAGTACTTGTATTCTGTTCAATGTCTTTGTAAATGTTTCTTTCATCTTTTATGTAATTTTGTTTCAGGTTATAGATTCTTCAGACGTTGTAATCCAAGTGCTTGATGCCAGGGATCCAATAGGAACACGCTCACCTCACATAGAGGCTTACATAAAAAAAGAAAAACCATGGAAAAATTTTATGTTTGTGCTTAACAAGTGTGATCTTGTACCGACCTGGGCAACTGTAAGTTTTTAATTTGCACACAGATTAGAGAGTTGGCCCTGGAATATAAATAATTATGGGCTCTATGGTACTTCCTGTGGGAGACTGACTGAGTTTTACAAACTCAGCACAGGAATTTGTGAGTGTGACACCATGTCTAAGTGTTCTGTGTTGCAGAACACAGCAATTTATTCTGTCCTTTGGATGATATGTAACACTAAAGTTCTGTCTGCTAGTTCAAGTGGATGCCGAAGAGCATGTGACACTATTCAAAAATGGAAGGGAGTTTTATAATAAGTGTATTAATAATAATAATAATCCTTACATTTGATATAGCTCTTTTTACGTCTTCTCGACATCTCAAAGCGCTTCACAGAATAGACTGTAAAATGAATTGACTGTATATTTGTGGGCGAAACGCGGCAGCCAATTGCGCAAAGCAATGTCCCACAAACAGTCGTGGATTGAAAATGACCAATTTTTATTATTTTGTTTTGGAGGGATTATTATTAGGCTCTGTGTGGGGTAAGGAAACTTGCCCAAGGTTTCGCCCTCTGCCTGGAATTGAACTCAGGTCTCTCACTTGCAAAGCGAGTGCTCTAACCACTGAGCTACAGGACTCCACAAAATAGTTTCAAATAGTTTTCCCAGTGTCCTGGATAAATTGATCATTCACTCCATGGCTCTTTGTGAGATGTTGTGGGGTAGATATTGACTGCAGTATTTGCTTACAAATAATAGTCATTTTACGTTACAGCAATTCCAGATAGTGTTGATATAATATAAAATGAAATTATTTTATTTTCCACAAGGCTGTATTTGCATGTTTGTTGAAAATGTGAAAGTTAGAAATGCAATTTATCGTATGGATTATTTTGTTCTACTCAGAATAAAATGTTTCTCAGACAATTAGATTACTGAGAATTGTATTTGTTAATAATCCTTATAAGATTATTACATAATTGAGATGTATTATTTATGTTGCAATAATAAAACGAAAATGTTGATTAACAAAGCCATTTTTATTGAATTTGATGCCACTTATTGCAGCACATCCGGATGAACACTTTTATTTCCTTTCTTACAGAAAAGATGGGTTGCAATTTTATCCCATGAACATCCCACACTTGCCTTCCACGCCAGCCTCACCAATCCCTTTGGAAAAGGAGCTCTCATCCAACTTTTGCGTCAGTTTGGGAAGGTAAGTTTAAATTGAAATTGGAACTTAAATGAGAAAGCGTTTGAAATTGCTAATAGTAACTAGAAGTTAATCGAGCAAAGATGTATGCTTTGGGGGTCTGTTTGATATGATGTCTGATGAAGAGTTGCAATTTAGTCCAAACACCATATTTTCCCCCATTTTTCCTTTTCAAATATTTGTTCAAATCCTTTTAGAAACTATTATGAGCTCTGCTTATCCTTGTAATTAATCTGCTCTGTATTACAACAAACCTGTTGCACTTACACCAGTTGTTATATGTTCAATGTAGTCGTATTGAAGATTTATGTCTTCAATAAAGCAATGATCGAAACAGTGATCACAATCTGAGGGAATTCTGCAGAATGTGACATTTATAAAGTCTAGGTTGAAATGAGAGGAACAAAACAACAAATTTGGAAATTATATTTTCACATTTTACATAAAATAACACTATACAATGTTTATTTGAAAGGGACATCAGCTGGGGAACAGCCAGCAACAAAGATAAAGGCACTTTGATTTGGTTGATGTATTTACTCCTTCTGTACCACTTAGCAGCCCACTGTACCTTTAAGTTTACAGGTTTAACTGGTGCAGTCTGTGAAATATACTCTTTTATTGCAAAATCCTTATTTTCCTGCTTCAAATATTCTGCCGCTCCCCTATAATGTGAAATTAAATAATCTTCTTTTTCATAGTTGAAATCCAGTGACGGATTAAAGAACACACACTTCCATTATAATCTAGTTTGACAAAAATGGGAGAGAAAAAATCCCAAATCAGTGGATCCCTCAATCCCTTGTAAATGAATACTGTCAAATGTTACAAGCCTATAACCTCTGAGTTTAGATGGTGTTGGTAAACTCTATTAGCTTCACTCATACACAGTCTTGGAAACATTGCTATTTTCTTCAACTTTGTGGGGGGGTATTGATTGCTGTAGTGAACAGCCTTCTGTGAAGGGAAATACACCTCGCAAAATTTGAGAAGACCGTTTTTCTTTAAAAGAACAATTGTAATCTAGATCTACTGCGTAATAAGGTTTTATTGAGCATATGTCATGTGTGTCTCTTAAACAGCTGCACAGTGACAAAAAGCAGATCAGTGTGGGTTTCATCGGCTATCCCAATGTTGGCAAGAGTTCTGTCATTAATGCGCTGCGTTCCAAGAAAGTCTGCAATGTCGCACCTATTGCTGGTGAAACAAAGGTGGGTGAAGGTATATTGATTGTTCATTTAATGGCTTTTTCTGTCTGTGAACATTACTTGTGTGTGAGAACTTTCATGACTCAAAGAGGCGAACGTAATTGCTTTATTTGGTTTCTCCCTGTTGTAGGTCTGGCAGTACATCACTCTGATGCGTCGGATTTTCCTGATCGATTGTCCTGGTGTTGTATATCCGTCTGGTGATTCGGAGACTGACATCGTGCTGAAGGGAGTGGTGAGTACATCATCTTGAAATAACTTCTATTGTTGAGGTTTGATAGTAAATTGAGCCCACAAATGAGCCCAAAAATAACCCCACAGGTGAACTTTGTTAATCTTTCATTAATGTTGTGATCTGATGGGGAGTGGACAGTACTTGGAATGCTGTTTATAAGCTTTCATTGTACTTGCTTGTAAGCTTTCAATTATGAACTTGCACCTCATTTTTTTTTGTTTTGAGTCATCCTAAAATTTTGACTCTGGTCAAACTTCATAAAGCACGTTCAGTGCGGTCAAAAGACATGTGGTTCTTTTTGTAATGGATTTTTTTTCAATGCTTTAATACAATCTGAGACGAGTAAAGAAGTTTATTATTATTATCCTCTCGACGGGAAAGGCGCTGTATGAATACAATTTGTTGTTCATAATAGACTTCCAAAAGACTGTTCTAGTTTTTCACTCTGATACGTTGCTCCCTAATGTAAGCGCAAATTTGTAAATGTGAAATGTTAAATATATATTAAAATGAACTGCTCCACTAATGTTAGCACTTATATTACTGTGAATCTAACCACTATGAAAAGAGGCATGAACTTTATGAAGTGTACTAATCAAATCGCACCAAAATGCTGTAGAATTGGATTTGTGCAAGATCAGCAGCATTCCAAGAGCAGATGAAATATTTTCCAACTGATTATCTTGATTTGTAGTGTTTACTGATTGTTGACTGATAAGGTATAAGTTTGTCAAATTGTGATCAGCAGTGTGAAATCTGATGCTGCGATAACAACAACTTGCATTTATAGACGGCCTTTGTATAGCGCCCTTCACGCCACACGGCGTCTCGGAGCGGTCATAGAGATACCCCAACTAGCTTCTAAGTGGACTGAATTGTGGATTATAACCATCCATAATTCAGTCCACTTAGAAGCTAGTTGGGGTATCTCTATGAGCTATAGATATGTATATATATATATGTATGTGTGTGTGTGTATAAAACAATATTATACATATAAGGAAAATTAGAGTGAATTCGGGGTGAAATTGAATCTCTGGGTTTTGACAATGATTTCAAGCTAATTTTTATAAGTTGACATGACTTGAACCTCTCAATGGTAATATAATCACTCCTGTGTACATTGTTTTCTTACATATCTCATTAAACTTCACACACTTTGGAGCGCAGAGCACTGAGCAGCTCAGATAAGGCAGAACATTATATAAGAATACATGATTGACAGTATGATTACTTTCGTATAGTACAAGTTTCTAAAAAGAAAATGTTTAAACTTTTAACAGCTGCAATTCTGGAGGCGGTTTAATTTTCTGTGTAATTATCCTGTCTACTGTGTGCATGCTTGTTTTCTCGATGTGTCACAGTCAACATATACAATTGTACAGATTGGCTAAAAATGGCCTTCAACTGCCTTTCTTTGTGAGAATATAGGTTTAGTCATTTCCAGGACCTGTCACACACTTCAAACATGTAACTACATTTTTGCATCATTGAATTGGTGAACCACTATTTTGTGGTTGGTTCCATAGAGACGCTCAGGTTCGCTACATTGGCTTTTAATATCAGAGACAGAAGTTTTGAATAAACACTATACTGATGGATTGATGAAAAACTAATTTCCAGGATCTAATGCTGTTTTGCAGTCAGTATAACACGATCATCAAGTGGTCAGCGAACTGATGTTTTATTGTCCTAATTTTGGAGCTAGATGAGGGAAAACACTTGAGCGCTATGTGATATTTCAAGATTCAGGTACAGTCAAACCTGTCTTCAACAAGTCCTCAGGGGACTGGGCTAAGGTAGCCTTTAGGTAAGGGTGGCCTCCGAGTAAGGGTTTGTTGGTGTGCAAACCGGACTGTTCCAGGGTGATTGTTAACAAAGGATAGCTAACAATCACCCTCTCTGGGACGCTACCCTGCGTGAGGGGTGTATTTGTTGTTGTTGTTGTTGCTGAATGAAAGTGGTTGCTTGACAAAAACTGGGTTGGCTTGGATATCTATTTTTTGAACCACCCCTTGCTTCTTAAAGGTTCAAGTCGAGAAAATCAAGTGTCCTGATGATCACATACCCGCAGTGCTAGAGAGAGCTAAATCTGAATACATCAGCAAGACCTACAAGATCGAGTCCTGGAGTAGTGCCGTGGATTTCTTAGAGAAACTTGCATTCAGGATGGGAAAGCTTTTGAAGGTAAGTTTGTTTTTCTTTCCTTCATAGCCAGACTATGTGCAACATTGCTCTCTTAACTTGATTTTTTTTCTACTGCTTAAAGAATAGTATTATTAGTAATAATTGTAAAACCCAAAGCCTGATTCTTGTACCTGTTAAATTAAAACAATTTAATAATTTCAATAAGCATAATATTTTCAAATATCCTGAGTGAGTAGTGCAGTATGTAATATATCTAGATACTGAAAGTAGGATGCATTTTAAGCTGCTGAATTACATACATAATTTAGAAATGCTAGTCAATAAAACAATGCAAGTATATAATAATCCTTGCATTTCATAGCGCCTTATCGCGTCTTCGAGACGTCTCAAAGCGCTTCACAGAATATTCTGTAAAGTGAATTGACTGTATTTTGTGAGCGAAACGCGCCAGCCAATTATGCGCAGCAGTGTCCCACAAACAGTCGTGGATTCAGTGACCAATTTTTTTTAAGGAATTGTTACCCCAGGAAAAGCGATACACCAATCAACTAACAACCGGGTTCCTACTTACTGCGCAGTAAACAGAGGCGTGTGGAATAAGGAAATTTGCCCAAGGTTTTGCCCTATCTGGAATCGAACCCAGGTCTCTCACTTGCGAGGCGAGTGCTCTAACCACTCAGCTACAGGACTCCTGTACAGATACCAATTTGGGGCAACTTTTGTTCTTTTCAGATCCTGTATTTTTGCCTTGTCGCGCCCAAACTACAATTTATATTCCTGATGTACAATTTCTTTACTTCCCAGGGAGGAGAGCCTGACATACAAACCATTTCCAAAATGGTCCTGAATGATTGGCAGAGAGGACGGATACCATTCTTTGTAAAGCCACCGAATGCCGAAGTAAGCTCACAGGTAATGCTTTGGGGTAATGATTACAGATACTTGATATTTTATGACAATTTACATGTTTGGTAATGAGAATGTCTCGATGCCTAATGTGAATTGTGACATTAGACAATGTCTTTGATTCAAGTAGAAGACTGCATGTTTTTAAGATGAATGCTTAGCCATTCATCTCACTGCTATTTTAAGAACGTTGCTGGCATAGATATGTTGTGCATTTCTACAAAAACATTCTTTCCATGATGATTTTTTAAAATGTGTACGTCTAACGTTTTCCCCTTGGTTTCCAAGGGAATCTTTTAATTTATGGCTGGCAACCACACCAGACAAAAATATAGCTGAGCATAGAAGGGCGATGTGCTGACATAAAAGGTTGCAACAGCCCGTTGGACTAGTGACAACGCATGTGATGACAATACCGTGGTTGGCTAGTGTTATGGTATTCACTCCATTTACTGTGTGTGGCACGGAAACAGACCATTCAGCCCAACTGGTGCACAGACCTCCACCCTTCCTATTCCTTCATTTACCCACCTTTATTCCCCCTAAGTGTGGGTCAGATTCTACAGCACCAGGATGAAGATGAGGTTGGCCATGTGCAAACTCGGGGATGAGCGGATCTTTCTCAGAATTCATTCGCTATCTGCTGCTGTCCTATTCTTTTGTCTGGGAAAGATCCATACAGCCCACTGATCCCCAATCCGAAGCAGCGGTTTGTAAGGATGAGTTCAGAGCCTGGTTATTCTCAGACATTTGTGGATATTGCTACAGGAAGCAGTTTTACATTGCTGCTTTCTGTCGATCAGCTAAGAGAGAACGCCTCTCTCGGTGAGCGAACTCGTGGTTGCTGAAGTCAACAGTGAAACTGATTAGATGGTAGCAGTTATGGGTAAAGCTAAGGCTTTGGGTCCAATTTCTCCAGTTTGCTCAGCAGTCATTCTTTCTATAGAAATATTTGTAACTGTTTTTTGTGAAGTAAAAGGAGTTAATGCTGGTATGAACCTTAGCCAGTGAGAACTGTTTAAAATTCAGCATTTCAGCCAATGAATTATTGTTCTGTTCAGTATTTTGATTCTAAGTGGAGCTCTAAGCAAAATTGTGCAGATGCCAAGAAACTGGTTTGATTTGAAAGCATAAAATGTTAAAATCATTGTCAAATCATAAAATCATTGAATTGGAAGTCTGGCTCAGCAAGCTTCTTTGAGCACAGTATCTCGTATGCACTTCATACAATTACATTCAGCCAGGACATGTGCAATCAGTTGTTTCAAATCGCAAAACTACAAAACAAAACATCTTTTTCATAATTTTAATGAGGGCTTCTGAAACAAAGTAAAATGAAAGCCCTGAATTGTTCACGCTATTACATATTGTATATGATTTGGCAATCCTGACTTGATATTTAAGACATTTTGTTTAAAAATCACATGTTAAGATATTTGCGAAGGTATGAAAGTTTCTTAGCAGTTGATGAACAGTGAATGTTATTTAACACAAAGTTAATGGTCAGCTTTTCTTTTTTTTGTTCAATTAGCCTATCGATAAGTTGAAAGCGGCCAAAATCACGAGCGACGTTGATCATGTAAAAGATGCCTCTGAATCATCAACTGTGCAGACTGAGCCAGAAGAGACCAAAGAGCCTAACACGGACACTCAGACACAGCAACTCGTTTCACAAGTCAGGCAGAACTTTGGAAAAATCAACGTGGCACCAGAATATTTTGCGGCAGATCTCCAACCTGTCGACAACTCTGACAATGAAGAGGCTGAGGAGAGCTGCTCGGAAGGGGAGGAGGAGAAGGAGGGTGAGAATGAGAACAAAGAAAAGGAACCAATTGGAGTGGAACTAAATCAACCGGAAGAAAACTCCTCCGAACCAAAGGGCAAATCAAAAAGTACAAAAGTCTTACAGGAATTGGATGATAAGATTGCAAAATATAAAAAGTTTCTGAATAAAGCCAAAGCAAAGAGGTTTTCAGCTATTAGGTAAGTTTGCTTTGTTGTTTGAAGGTTTGTTCAGAACAAACGGTTGAAGCAAAACCAGTTTTGCCTACTAAAATCACTGCGCCCAGCCTCTTTCCTCACCCCCCCAAAAAAACTTTTTCTTATAATGGGAAGAGAAACACATTGGAAGTGAGGGTAATTGAGTCAGACTTGCAATGAGCTATGATTTCTGGTCAGATAGGTTTATTAATTTGTTCACTTCCTGCCTGTTTGTGGGATATTGTGTTGGTTGCCACTTTTGCCTTCAACTACACAACTTTTAACAATAATTACTACAAAGCACTTTAAGACATTTCAACATAAGATGCTACATTAAATGCAAAGATTATTATTATTTATTGCAAAGCTAGATTTCGAGGTCAAAATAGTGAAAACACCTCGTCAATTTAAGAGTAATGTGAGGATGAGTATGAAATAATGGGTAGCACTTACTGATGGAAATTTCAAGCAGCCCAGATTAAACTGGGAATGCCTAAGGGGAAACCAATCCGAGTTTGCCGATGACTGCTTCATGGCTCAGATCATCTCTACCTGAGACTTGGTAAAAGAAATAGTTGTTAGATAATAGTAATCCTAGATCGGAGCATGGAAGCACAAACTTCACTTCAAAATAAGATAATTTTATTTTAAATAGATTTTGTAAGTCCAGTTGGGTTTACAGAAAAACAGAATAAGTTTAATAATACAGGCATTTCATATAACGCCATATCACGCCTTGAAACGTCTCAAAGGGCTTCACAGAATATAATGTAAAGTGAATTGACTAATCATCACATCATACTAATCACAGCAACTTACAATCTCATTGTACCTTTCACATAGGGTAACATCTCAAGGCACTTTACAGAGATAGTATCAAGCAGGGAGGATGTGGGAGGTAACTGCAGGCACGACATGGTCAAAGAAATAGATTTTTAGGAGGTTTTTAACGAACAACAGAGGGGGTGAAATGGAAGGATTTAGAAAACCAGGGTCTTAGTGGCTGAAGGCTCAGCCCCCAATAGTTGTCGTTTTCTTCCAAAGATGACTGCTGGGTTTCTGTTACTGCTGGTTTCCTGAATTTGCTGCTGTTGGGTTATTGTCCTTTGTCACATCGTTTTTCCCTCAATAAAACCCTGGAGCAAGGATAACTTCCAGCTTATTTAATAAACCGTTATGGCTCTTCCCTCATTAGCATGTGATCGAAATGCATGCATTCGTTAACTGCATGCAAGTGCTTTAATAACCCAAAACTTGTTCATGTCTGACTTGGTGATTAAAATTTGTCCTTTATAAGCAAACTTGTGATACAACAGTCAAAGTCAGTAAAATAGCCAAATTATGATTGTGATCTTTCTACATTCTGCATTTTGCATCGAAGGGTTATATTTTGACCAATGAACATTTCATGAAATCTGCAGAAGAGTCTGTTTTCAATATGCAGTTGTGTAAAGTTCTGCTGTTATTTATAGGATCCCCAAGAATCTGGCTGCAAAAATGTTTACAGATTCGAATCAAAAAGAAGTGGAATCAAACTTAAATGGTGAGTGTTAATCCTAGAATCTTTTCACTTACACAGAAATGAACTGAAGGCTATTTAGAATTCTAAATCCTGAATTAAGACTTAATGGTGATTATCTGCCATTTACGGTGATTTTCTTGGCAGCCAGTGTTCTATATATGGTGGGTACAATACTTTCAGCTATAAGGCTTTTCATTTTCCAATGATTACATCAAGAAGTACAGTGTACTGCTGTGCTTGGAACATCCAATGTTATTTGTGTGCAACCCACATTTTATAATCCTCTGGACAGTCATTGTTGTGAAGGGTAATTTTTAACCTAAAGGAACAACTGGAACTTTTTGGTATTTTACAATAGTTTGAATTGTGCAGGCTTTTCTTCTCTCCCCCCCAAAAAATGCTCATTAATTCTTTTCACTGCATTATGTCACTATTTGAGACAAGTGAGTGACAGGGAACCAGTTGTCGCCCAACATCCGCTTGTGCACATTTTCCAGCAGGGGGCCACTAAAAACAACAATTTGCAGTTATATAGCGCCCTTCACGCAGGGTAGTCTCCCGGAGCACTTGACAGTGGCGGAGTCTGACCCCGAGCCAGGGAGACAGAGAGGTGATTGTAAGCACATTCAAAAAGGAAGGTCTTTAGGCAGGATTTGAAAGTAGGGAGGGAGAGAGTTCCAGAGTTTAGGGGTGTAGTGGCTGAAGCCACAGCCACTGATGGCGGAGGGGATGAGGGACGAACAGGAGGCCAGAGCCAGCCGAGCAGAGGCAGCGGATGGGGTGTAAAAATAACGGATAGGTAGGGAAGTGCGAGGGCATGAAGAGATTTGAAAACAAGTGATGTTAAAGACAAACCCATACCCCAGCTGAGAGCTTCCCGTTTCCTCTGTTGCCCAGGAAAGCTGAGATGACCTGGATGGTGAATTCACTAACTGATCTGTTCAGGGACCTGGCGTGAAATGCCAATTTTATGCTGATTCGATAACAACTCTCAAAAGAGAAAGGGAGGACAACTTTGCAGGGCTTATGGGGTAGAGAGCGGGGGAGTGGGATTGATTTGAATAGCTCTTTTCAAAGAGCCGGTGCAGCCGCGATAGGCCAAATGGCCTCCTTCTGTGTTAATTCTTCTGGAATAATTCTGATTCCATGAAATCTGAAATAATATTCCTGATAATGTTGGGAGAGTAGTTGAGGAAAGCTTCCCTCCTTTTCAAGACCAATAGCAAATTTGTATAGCTTCTTTCACGTCAGGAAGACAGACAGAAAAAAGTGTTGATTTCTAATTACGGTTCCTTTTTTTAAAAAAAAGTTTGTTTTTTTATAATAATGATTATCCCAACAACTTGCATGTTGCGAGGATGTCTCAAAGTTTTTCACAACATTTTTACTTTGAAGTGGTGTGACTGTATTTTTGTGGACAAACATGCACATAACCGTAATATTCAGAGCTGCTGCTTTGTTCAAAAAAATAATTCAGGAGATCCTAAAGCAGGAAGAAAGCGGAAAATACAGAATGAACCCATCGATGATCAACCTCCCACCAAGCTTTCATCCAAAGAGGCAAGTCTGGGTTATATTCTCTGTGCCAATGATGTCTTAAATTTCATAGAAAACGCTAGAGAACATAAAATAAATTTAAGATTGCTTGTCTTTTCTCAACTGGATTACCTAGTTTCCCAGTGATCAAAGAAACGTCAGCTTTTGAAGTGCTGGCAGATTCAGGGGAATCTCTTGCCCTGCTCTCCCCATTCCATTTTTACCTCATCCATTGTTATGTTGAAATAACACCCAGTCACCTCCGTTTGCTCAAGTGCCAGGTGCGGGGCTGCCGAACTCACTTGGCTCAAATCCGGCCTAACAGTCCACCGGCATGTCTGGCTGGACCTCAACAAAATCAACCGCTCCACTCTCACCTCAGCCAAATCATCCTTCTATTCCAGGTTAATCCTGGAGGCGAAGGGCAACTTCAGGCTCCTGTTCACCACCATCAACCGGCTCCTCCGCCCTCCCCACCACACCTCACAGATTCTTTCCTCCAACCTCCACCGCAAGGAAATGCTGGACTTCGAGTCCAAAATCGAGGGATCTGCTCAGCTGCCACTACCACCCCCCCACAACTTCCACCCCCTCCCTAACCCCCGCACCCCACTCCGACCACTACCCATCCCTCCTTCCATACCTTTGAAACTGTCAAACCCTCCTCTGTCATCATCAGGAAATCCTCCATGAAGCTCACCACCTGTTCCATCCCCATCCCTCTCCTCAAATCCCACCTCCTTGCCCCACTACTCGTGGACATCATCAACCTTTTCCTGTCATCTGGCACTGTTCCTACCCCCTTCAAAACAGCCATTATCACCCCCACCTTTAAGAAAACTTCCCCTGACCCATCACAGCTATCCAGCTACCAACCCATCTCCCACTTCCCTTTTCTGTTTAAGGTCCTTGAGAGAGCCGTAGCCTCCCAGCTTCGCTCTTTCCTTCTCTCCCACTCTCCCACTCTCTATGAACCCCTCCAATCAGTTTTCTGTGCTTCCCACAAATGACATCCTGACCATACTTGACCAGGGCTCCCTCTGCCTCCTCGACCTCTCCGCCGCCTTTGATACTGTGGACCATTCAATCCTCCTCCACCGCCTCTCCTCCCACCTCAACCTTCAAGGTTCTGTCCTTGACTGGTTCAGGTCCTACCTTTCACACCGCCTCCACTTCGTCTCTGCAAACGCCTTCTCCAACCCTCGCACCGGTGTTCCTCGGGGCTCTGCCCTCGGTCCCCTCCTCTTCATTCTCTACATGCTTCCCCCTTGGTGACCATCTGCAGACATGGGGTAAATTTCCACATGTATGCGGATGACACCCAATTTTATCTCTCTGCCTCCACCCTCAGCTCCAGGACAATGATTTTGGAGGGACAACTTTCTCCAACTGAACGTCTGCAAGACCAAGGCCCTCCTGATTGGCTCACAACAGAGTCTCCGCACCTCGGGCGCTGGGCAGCATCAGCCTCCACAGCTGCACACTCAACCTCACTAAACCAGTCAGGACCCTGGGTGTCTTGTTTGACCCCGAACTGTCCTTTCTCCCCCACATCTGTGCCATGACCGGCACTGCCTACCACCACTTCCGCAACATTGCCAGACTCGGCCACTGACTCATCCTCAGGCTGCCGAAACCCACACATTCGTCACATTAATGCTCGATCATGGAAACTCTTCAACCCTTCCCAACTCTTCCCTTCACAAGCTGCAGATCATCCAAAACTCTGCAGCTTGTGTACTCTCACGCACCAGGCTCCACGACCCCATCACTCCCACCCTCACCCGACTCCACTGGCTCCCCATCCCCCAGAGGATCGAATTCAAGATCCTCGTCCTCACTTTCAAGGCCATACATGGCCTTCCCCCTCCTACCTCTCTGACCTGCTCACACTCTACCAACCTGCCCACTTCCTCTGTTCAGCGGACTCTGGTCTGCTCCATGTCTCCTGCCCAACCTGCCCTACCATTAGTGGCCGGGCTTTCAGCCTCTCTGCCCCCACACTCTGGACCTCCATCCCACAGTACCTTTGCCTCATTTCCTCCTTTGCCTTCTTCAAGGCCGGTCTCAAGACCCTCCTCTTCAATCATGCCTTCAGTCGCCCTCCCATCTCTCTGCCTTCCCTCACCCCTACCCCACCCCTTCCCCCATGCTCGGGTCTTCATCCCTGACTGTTCTGCGCCTTGGGACGTCCTCCCGACATGAAAGCGCTCTATACAAATATACAGTCAATTCACTTTGCAGCATATTCTGTGAAGTGCTTTGAGACGTCGAGAAGACGTGAAAAGCGCTATATCAATTGCAAGGATTATTATTTTATTATTATAAATGCAACTTTATTGTTGCTAAAATGTCAGAAATGAATAACTTTATCACCGCAAACCTCCTAAACTATTGCATTTCTGTTTTGCAATCTTCTAGTAATCTTTTTGCTTTAATTTAACTTTGTCTAATCCTTTAAAATATTTTACTGACCTGTCACCTCCTATTTCCCAATGTCTCCTTTTACTAAAGTTTTAGTAACATAAGAAGGGACTGACAACAGATACATATTGATTGCCAGCCTAAAATGTCTAGTCATACACCATGCCAAAGATTAATTTATAATAATCCTTACATTTGATACAGTGCCTTTCACATCAGGACAATCCTGATGGTGGGGGGGGCAGGGGGAGGTAAATAGGATTGCCTTGAAGCTGATGTGGCTCCAAGGTGACATGTTTGGCAACAGAATATCAAGGTAGGTGAGTTCCTGAGCCGGGCGGGTCTGTACTACTCCAGGCACTGCTGATGATAGCACTGCCAGCCTGGCTCATTGGCAGGACTGGAGAGGTAGACCAGACACTGGGATTCTTCCCACTCAGCTCCTATTAACCTTGCAAGCCAATGTCATGATGGGTAGGGTGGTCCTAGCTTAACAAGTGTGCCAGACAGTGGCGAGCTATGCAGTTTTAGCTGGTTAGATTCTAGCAGTTACCCCAACCAACACTCTGGGGTCCCCAAGCCTTTGCTCTTGCCAACCTGTGCTGAATTCTCTCTGGAATTAGGTAAGCAGGATGTGTCCCTCCAGGGAGAGAGTGCACATTCCAATACACAAGAATTTCCATGTTTAGGTGGGATGCATGGACGGTGATGGGTTTCCGCACGTATTAGACAAAAGAAAACATTTCAAAGCGCTTCACAGATTTATTGTAAAGTGTAGTAACTGTATTTTGAAGGAAAACATGATGCAAGTGTGTGTTCTTTAAAAATGCTGATTCATATTAACATAATTAACTCAGAATCTTTGATTTGTTGGCAAGAATGTTTTGAATATCTATAGCTGGAATTAAATTCACATCTATATTGGCACAAAAAACTGTCCATCACAGATTGTGGATTCATTTTTCCTGGGTGTTGTGTATAATCTATGCTCCGTTGATTTGCCTTTACAGAAGCGAAGACTGGAACGAATGCAACGCTCAAAGAAGGTTGGGGTTCGATACTACGAAACACACAACGTCAAAAATAAGAACAAGCAGAAAAAGACAATCGGGGCATCAGACCAACAGAAATTCAAAAAGAAACAATAGATTTTGTACCCCAGCATTTCTGTTGAATAAAAGAAAAATAATAATAATCCTTGCATTTGATATAGCGCCTATGTCGTTGAGACATCTCAAAGCTCTTCACAGAATATACTGTAAAATGAATGGACTATTTTGTGGGTGGAATTAATAAATGGAATTTTACTTTTAAGTCTTTTTTTATTAAAATTTAATGATACGCCAACCCTTTCACCTCTGGAATTTGGATTTATATTCAGTCCAACTGTTGAGAGACGTCTGTACAATGACACCTTACACTTGAGCAGACTTGGCTCAGCTCCCTTGGGATTATAACAAAGTTGTTCATTTGACAGTATACCTGAGTGATGAAGTGAAATGGAATAACCTTTATTCCACTTCTAACCCATAACCAGGCGATGCAGAATGCTAAGTGTGTGGAAGTTTCCACAGCAATGACAGGCATCACCTTGACCTGAAAATAAAACATTATTGGTGGTAAAATTAAATTATTTTGAGGATTTTTTAATAGCATAAGGGTGAGAGTGTGGAAATGGGTGCAAACTAAATTATAGGTGATGAGAACTGCCTGTATGTGAAACTGACTTGTTTGAGTTGGGTGAGTTTCTGTAAAACTGGCTTCAAGAGTGCACTATTCCTTTGAAAAAGACAATGAATTGCTCAGTTTGACACGGCTGAGTCATGTCATCCACCACCTGAGTCACATCATGCACAAACAAATGAAATTTCTCAATTTGAGCCAGCTGAACAAAGCTGTTGTACAAAGGTGATGAGCAGCTGACTTAGTTGTGTGTCAAGCTGAACACATCCAACGGTCTGTTTTCCTGTGTATTTCCTTACATCATAATTCTAATCTTTGCATTTGATATAGTGCCTTATCAAGTCTATGAGATGTCTTAAAGCACTTCACGCTCCACTTCCAAAACATTATCTTTGCGTAAAAATACTTTTTTACGGAAAATTAGTTCACATCTTGCTCTGCTCCCCAGTCTCGCTGAAGGTTTGATGGTTTGTATACATCGTGCTTTACTGCACCTCTAGCTTTTGGTTAGTTATGCGAGCGCTTAGTCTCCTGAAATTCCACATTATATACCTGTTTCTTATCATTTAAAAGACCTGCTCACATTATCACTGAAAGTCTTCATTCCTCCATAGGAACAAGCCTCATTCTTCCTGTTAACTGTTGCAAATGCTGACTTCAACTGCAAAACACACAGTCATTACACCTTACAGTAAACCTTGTACAATGCTTTGAGACCTCCCAATATGAAAGGTGCTACAATAAATGTAAGCATTATTATCCTACAATACATTATTGCACTGAAATGCTGTTTTTTTTCTTTAAAAATATCATTGCCTACTTTAAAGTTTCACAAGCTGAATACTTTATTCTGATTTTTGCATATTTTAAAAGTATCAATGAGTATCGTTCGATGATTGAAGAAACTACTATATTTTAAAACTTGTCCCGTTTGTAACAGTGGAACTCTGCAGAGGTACCAGTGTGGTGACAGCACTTTGCTTCATTTATACTGTGAAGAACTGCAGGATCCGGTGTTAGGTTTGATTTGTGTGTTGAAGAGCAGATTATGTGATGCCTGTTGAGTTCTTGAACCATTGAATAGACTGCCCGAGAGCTTTTAATGGGTGATTGGGGAATGGAAATTTAGGCATTGAATTTGTTACTGCCCTCGGGCTCGGTGGGGGCACGGGTGGAGGAATTCAAATTGATTTCGAACTTCTGATTAGTGTCCACCCCCTCCTAACAAGAAATTAAATGTGTGTAGATGTTGGTTTAGAACAGCATTGCCCCACTGTGCTATGACCCCCCCCTCTGCTATAATCCCCTCTGCTATGAACCCCCACCCCCCGCTATGACCACCCCTCCTATGACCCCACCCCTCTGCTTTGACCCTCTCTCTGCTATGACCCCCCTCACTGCTATGCCCCCCCCTCTACTTTGACCCTCCCTCTGTTATGACCCCACCCCCCCCCCCCTTCTGCTATGACTCCCTCATTGCAAAAAACTGAGTAACCACTGTCCCTGATCACTTGGATATGGCATGATGTGAAAGTCCGCCAGTGTTTTGTTGAACACTGTGGAAAGTTGACTCCACTGATTCAGGAGAGAAGCTTGGGGGGGAAAACATACTGAGAAACTTCAAGCCACATCTCAGTACAGATGATTTGTTTTCATATCCAAGTCATACTTAGAAAAGTATGGTGTGAAGTAAAGGGTATTGTTAAAAATTCCATTAGTGGTTACAGATTCTTGCTGTAACTGTTTTCCTGCGTCTAACTGGTTTGAGATGCTATGATATGCATTGCAGAACCGCATATTATAACTGAACTGTGGACTGTTAACACCATCTACTGGTTGTGAATTGTCAGCAATTATGTTGACAGTTGAAAACTAACCGTCTTAAAAATAATTTAAAAATTATAATAATCCTTACATTTGATATAGCACCTTTTATGTCTCAAAGTGCTTGATAGGATACACCATAAAAATTACTTGACAGTAATTATCTTTGAAACATTTTGGGATATTTTAATGTTATATGTTGGTGTTTGCAGTGAGACGACTTCTTCAAACAAGTTTACTAATTAAGTAATTTATTTAAAGAAATTGTTACTTTTAAAAGAACAGAACCCATGTAAATGCATTGCCGAACATTTGCTGCAAAATAAAATGAGGAATTTGAAATCATCCAGTAACAAAAATGTACTTTAACACAAAAATGAAAATAATATATCACAGCTGAGGGAAAAAAGCAAATTGCATGTAGGAGTACCTCATTGACCAAAGACTTGGAGTTCTATATAAAACAAGCATTGCACACAGCTTCACTGGGTAAGAACTCGAACTGCTTTCCATCTTTAGTGTTTTACAAATTGATTTGTCTCATGTCTACTCTGTTGTAAAATCTACAGTTGTAATCTTCTCCACATCTTTGGGTTCATTGCCTTTTGCCAATGTGAAGTCACTCTGGTTCAGCCTGCTCCCACACTGCATTAATGAACCAAAGACCCTGTTTTTGTCTCGAAGGAAATAATGAAGCATTATTGAGCTCTTGTCACTATCGATACCCCTAAAAAAAATGTATGCGCTTCAAAATAATTTGCAGTGTGCATATATATTTTTAACATTGTGTGCTGATCACATTTACAGACAGGGTTGCTTGAAAAAGGGCGAGTTTAGTTTAGAAAAATATAGAGGCTCAGAATCTACCATAGGATAATTATTGTATTTACTCGGAATCAAAGGCAACACAGATTTCAGAGGCTGGAGAAAAATCCTGTAACGCTTTTCTAATGCTGTTGATTCTAAGGCACAGCCTGATCTTATACATACGTTTTAGTAAGAAAAAAACACTGTAGATTTGAGTAAATACAATAAACACCGCTTAATAGTACCAATCCATCTCTTAAAACTGGGCTATATGTTAAATGTTTTACCTTCCTCCAACAAAACGTCCCTGTTTAAACTTCAGGCAGATTCACCAGCAAGAGGGAAGCCATCAGCGGCTCAAGCAAGAGCGGCACGGCATCAGCGGCTACTCTAAACATAATATAATATACTATAATATATATAAATATACTCGTGCTCATTAACTCTCCAATTCCGATAACCCTTTGGACTGTCTTTTCATGCAATTTTTAAAAATACAAATTGCTAAGCATTTTTATAAGGGTAGAGATATTAATTAAATTTAAAATGAATGAATGAAATCACTAATTAAATTAAAATTATGAAATGTTTTAAAGAGACTGAATTGATGCCTTATATCACCTTATATCCATGACTACTTTAGATCAGTGAGCTTCTACATAACAGCTTACCTCCTGCAGCAATTAATATACGATTTAAAATTACACTCATTCTCAGTGAACACGCAGCAATGTTTGATGGATTGTATGGAAAATGTATCGCGATAGTTTCATTTCTTTGGAGTAATTATGCCTTCCAGTTGCACCTATAATAAGAAAAGAAATCTGTAATATCTTCTATATTATTTTTTAAAATATGTTTTCAGTACAGAAGGAGGCCATTGACTCATTATGTCTGTGCCCCTCCAGCAATATTAACAAATCACCATTTATTGAGTGCACCCACTTTCCGGCTCTTTCTCTGTATCCCTTAATGTTTTTCCTGCTCAGGTGTTATCCAATTCCGTTTTGAATGGATTTAATTGATTCAGCCTTAATCACAACTTGTAATGAACTTTAAACCTGAAAACCCCTCAGAATCAAGAAACCGCTTCCCTATTTTTTCAGCTAACAATGCTGAGACTCGTGCCCCCTCTGTCACCGTATCCTCCAATTAAAGGAAGTTGTTTTTCCTTATGTATAATTATATTTCTCTATGGATCATCACAATCCTGAAGACCTCTACCATAATCCCCTTTTAGTGTCCTCTGTTTTAATCNAAAAAGCCCCAATTCAGCCATAGATTCCAGGCCATCATTGAGAATGTGCCCATAAACTATCCACAGCAGTCACTGCTCTAAAGCTATTGCCAACATGGTAGTAACCTCAATCCATAGGTAATTCATTGAGGCTTTCAAAACTATAATGAAATGGCCTTGTACCAATATGAATAAAACTGATTTAAATGGACATAACACGACTTAAAACAGCATTGACTTTTGTGAGTGATGGATGGGAAAGAGCATCGACATGGAGGACTGCTAACCGAAGAGATGATTGCTACCCAACGTGAAAGAAGTAAACTAGGAACCTTGCAAACGCTGTGTTAATTTCAGTCTCCCCATATTCGGATCTTGTTTGGGTGACACACCACAACCAGCTACAGAACCAGCAAAGCCAACAGGTGATTCATTTGGGAACTTAATAATAATAATCCTTGCATTTGATATAGCGCTTTTCACATCTTCTAGATGTCTTAAAGCGCTTCACAGAATACACTGTAAAGTGAATTGACTGTATATTTGTGGGCGAAACGCGCAACCAATACCGCACAGCAATGTCCCACAAACAGTCATAGATTGAAAATGACCAATTTATTATTGTTTTTGGTTTGGGAGGATTATTATTAGGCTCTGTGTGGAGTAAGGAAATTTACCCAAGGTTTCGCCCTGACCTGCCGGGAATTGAATTCAGCAAAGCGAGTGCTCTAACCAATGAGCTACAGGACTCCTTTCCAACTAAGATTGAGAACTGATCACTTGTTGAATATAGTACATCATCCCCAATGGCTGTGATGGCATGGAACTGCAGCCATTCCCTGACACTGTGTGTGAACTAATTCCTGAAATGCTTCATCCGTTTATTTTAAGTGACATAAAGTGGAATATTTACAGTGATCTACCTAGCCACCATTCCCGATTTACGATTTTCAGAAGTGAACACTTAAAAACGCATGATCTGAAAGTTACGGAGAACAAAGTGTGAAGAGAGCCCCAACATATCGTGTGTTATTGTCAGTGTAATTGCTCCTGGCAGCAAACTGCAAACAGGAGCAAAGCTTTTGCTCACCTTAAGCTGCTGATTAGTTCGTTTGAGAAACTGTATTTCTTCAGCGTGTTTCTTGTCATCCACTTGCCGTCTTTCATTCTCTCGCTTTTCTATTCCTTCACACTTTGCTTTCTGTTCGTTCACCTGTCTCTCCAGTTCTTTCTTTTCTACTTCCAAATCAGCGATCTGAAAAGGGAAGGAGAATTTTTTTAAAAATTAAATAATGATAATAGTTTGGTCACTCAATCCACGACTGTTTGTGGGACATGGCTGTGCACAATTGGCTGCTATGTTTCACCCACAAAATATACAGTCGATCCACTTTATGGTGTATCCTGTAAAGCGCTTTGAGAAGTCATGAGAAGTCATGAGAAGGCGCGGTATCAAATGCAAGGATTATTATTATTAAACCCCACATCTTGCTCCTTTAAGCATTAAATCCAGGAAACAGATTTGCTGTATTTTACTGTTGTCTGTTTCCACATAAAGACAAAGGAGAAAAGGTCATTAAAATATCTCTTTGCACTGAGATAGGGACATTCTAGGATAGGGACATCCAACCCTCAGCTTGGGTCCAAATCCTTTACTGTCCAGCATTCTAGGATAGGGACATCCTCCTGATGTGAAAAGCATTATACAAATGCAATTTGTTGTTGTTGTAGGTGCTTGGAAGCAGAAGCTTTATGAAGAAATATGTATTTAGTGGAAGGCCTTGATTCCAGTCTGGCAAAATGCAAGTGTTAGATATTTTGGTAATTTCTAGATTCTGCTCTGATCAGATTTCACACAGTAAGATATTTAAATTTCAACTTACTCACTGCCTAAACATTGTGATAGTGTTTATTTATAAAATATGCCTCATTATTTACACAAGTTAATGAGTTACATCTTTTAACTAACTCCAAGCCTCTACCTTTTTCTCCATGTCTGCCTTGCCCTCTTCCGCTTGTAAGGCTTTCCTCATCCCGAAGGCCACACTGCTTTCGTACAGTGTCTGATAGGCAGAGATGGTCATACGGATCTCATCACGGACTCGCAACAAGAGCAGCCCACGTTCTGCACAGTTAATGGTGACCTGCCGAATCAGTTCATCTGTGAACAAGGAAACAAGGAAATTTGGCTGATTGAGCCTGCTCCGCCATAGCAGAGCCTGCTCCGCCATAACACGAAACGTCACTCACATAAAACATTCTACTCTCAAATAGTCTTCTCTTTTGAATATGGGGTGATGGGTGACCATTGCCCAGTGAGGGTGTCAACGAATTCTTTCTCTGCCCCAGAAAATCAGTGGGAGAAGTCAATCGAGGGATTTAAGAGAGAGGTTGAGAGACACTTGGGGTGTAATGTTATTGAAGGATACGGCAGGGGATTGGGATTAGGGGAGGTTGTAGTGGATGGGCCATAGAATGGCTATGGCGGAGCAGGCTCAATCAGCCAAATTTCCTTGTTTCCTTGTTCCTTCTGCAGGGGTACCGCTCACCAAAGCACTGTGAGTAGAGCTCCCTGCGGACTGGGCAGATGCCGGTCTCCCGAGCCTGCCTCTGCTGCAGCTTCAGGTCCAGTTGTTCCTGCAGGTGGACGACATCGATACGTGTGCATGGATTGCTGGAGACCTGCTGCACCCAAAGCTGTCCGTTCTCCGCCCATTCTCTGCAGCACAACACAAAACCCAAGGCTTGATCCAGTGCAACCGCATAATGTGTTTGGCTTTGTCTCTGCTTTTTCAGATCCTTGTTCTTACCTTCAAATGCCTCCAGTCTTGTCCCCCCCGACCACTTCAGCAACCTACTATGGTCCCACTCATCCATCATCCACTGCCAACTCAGGATTCTGCATGTCCTCATCCATTCCTCCCCAACACCTGCAAGTAAGCTTTCAGCACTGACGCCCCTGTTCTCTGGCACTTGTTCCCCAAATCCCTCTACCTTGCTTCCTCCCTCTTTGATTTGAAAACCCATCCAAAATCTGATTTCTTTGATTGTAAATGTCGTCATCTCCTACCTACTTATCCTGCTACTAACTGCTTGGAGACATTTTCCTACATGAAAGGTGCTTCAGAAGTGCGAGTTTGTGCTGCTGTAACTCCGTTTCTTCGCTTTCCCTTGTGGTCTCCCCCTCCCACAAGACGTTTCACGTAAGAGATGAAGAATTGCAATGACTCTTTCGCTCAGCAAAAGCACTTAATGCATTCATGCACTTGTTAACCAAGGCGCCCTAGGGAATAAGGCTTCAGCTCGAGATCTGATGGTATAGTTCTACAAAGAAAGTGAGACACAATCTGGGTAAAATAGCATATCCTCACTCTGTTCCCAAATCTGACCTATTTTGGAGGGCACAATGCCCCTCAAAGGTTCCAATCGTCTCATGGTCTCACTTTTTAAGCAAAGTCAATGACACCAATGCTCTTTCAGGGTTTTTGCGAGTTAGAGAAGGGGAAAGGTTGCATTTATATAGCGCCCTTCAGGCGCGCCAGTGTTTCAAAGGCTTAACAGTGGAGGAGCCTGACACCAAGCTGGGGAGAGGGAGGAGGTGACCTTAAGTTCTATCTAAGAGGATGGTCTTCAGTCTTAATCCAAAAGAGGGGATGGAGGGGGAAGGCGGAGGGATTGGGGGAGTGAGTTCCAAAGCTTTGGGGTGTAGTGGCTGAACACAATGTCCCAGGTTTTCCTTGCCCTTCCTGAGTTCAGTGGCCACCCCAGTACTAAGTGTGCACATGGGGACATCGGCTGAGGACAGATTTGGATTCAGAGCTTATGTCCTCCAGAGCTGAACAGCTTTCATCACCAATTTGGCGGAGATACTGGGGGATTGCTGGTGAACCAAGTCCTGTCACGAGACAAGATCTGCAGAGAAGGGAGAGGGGGGAAACCGGCAACAATAAAACAAATTAGGTACCAAAAGGTTTTTATTTTCAGGCCGATTTTCTCAAACATTCCTAAACAACGATTATGAATGACAATCTGTCATATTACCTGGGAGGCAAGATTGCATTTAAAATCTCCTCTGTCTGCCTGCTGACATCCTCTAAAAGGGGTTTGGCTTTTGGAGGGCTTGGGATGGGTGATGTAGACAGAGGAGGCTGGGGAGTCACTTTCAAAGCACGAGACTGTAACAGACCAAAAGCAAATCAATTAATTGCACATCCTCGGACTTGCATTTACTATTACTATTATTACTATTATTAATAATATTATTATTATTATTGCTATTACTGTTTGGTCATTCACTTCATGGCTGTTTTTTTTCACGTCCTCCCGATGTGAAAGGCGCTATACAAATGTAATCTTGTTGTTGTTGTTGCATTCATCGCAATAGAAGATCAAATTCCTGGCATTCCAAGAATATAATTTAAAAAATAGACACAAAGTAGTTAATCATTTTCAGTACTGAAGAATGAAAGGCAATATCTAGAATGATATTGGTCAATCTATTCATTGTATTCAGGATTTGGAGCATGTTATAAGGAAATTATTGGTACTATTAAAGGTGGTGGTTCTCTTCTGGATTTTAATCATCTATATTCATACAGAAACAGCCCATTTGGCCCAACTGCTCTATCCTGGTGTTTATGCTTCAAATGAGACTCCTCCCGCCCTTCCTCAACTTTGCCTATCAGCATAACCTTCCATTCCTGTCTCCCTCATGTATATCCCTCATTCTAGCTTCCCTTTAAATACATCTATGCTATTACTCTTTGTCATTCACTTCATGGCTGTTTGTGGGACCTACCGGAGTACAAATTAACTGCCATATTCGCTTACCAATAAACAGTCACTACACTCAACAGTTAATTACTATGAAGAGCTTTGAAATGTTTTGACCCAAAGTAATAATGTTTGCATTTGATATAGCACTTTATCAGGTAAAAATATCACAGAGTTTGTAAAGTGTGTATTTTGTAGGTGAATGCGGCAGGCAACTTGTGCACAGCAATGTCCCACAAACAGCGATGAAGCAATTGCGCAAATGTCAGCCTCGACTTTGAGTTCGAAGGCCTGAGGTGGAGCTCACGGAGCTTGGTGTGGGAGAGGACACAAGCTCCAGAATTCTGAATAATCTGTAGTTCATGGAAATAGGGAATTAGCGTAGTTGAGCATGGACACGATGTGGAATCCTTTAGCGTATTGGTCATGGAGTCCTGTAGCGTAATAGTTAGCGTGCTCCGTCACACCTTTCCCTCCACTCACTCTTCGAGCCCCTGCAGTCTGTTTTTGCCCTGACTGCCCACAGCACAGCACAGAGACAGCGCTTGTCAAAGTCACAAAACATTCTCTCTATCTGTGACTAGGGCTCCCTCTGCCTGCTCGTCCTCCTGGATCTCTCTGCCACATCCGACACAGTCGATCACGCCATCTTCCTCCATTGGCTCTCCTCCCTCATCTACCTTAGTGGGACCGCACTCGCATGGTTTGCGTCCTACTTAACCAACCGCCTCCATTTCATCTCAGCAAATGGTTTCTCCTCCCGCCCCCAGCCAGTCACCTGCAGGGTACCCCAGGGCTCCATCCTTGGCACTCTTCTTTTCCTTATCTATATACTCTGGGCGAGTTCATCCGCAGACTTCTACATGTATGCGGACGACACACAAATCCTACTTTGCCTCCTCCAGCACCAACTCCAGGTCTGCCGATGTTCTATCAGCTTGTCTGGCAAACATCAAGGCCTGGAAGAGTGTAAACTTGCTGCTGCTGAATATGGACAAGACGGAATCCATACTCCTTGGCTCCCATCAACATCTTCACTCCTGCGGATCTAAATTCCTCAACCTCCCTGGGCTCTACCTCAGACTCACCGAACCAGTGCGTAACCTAGGCATCCAGTTCGACTCCCAACTGTCCTTCTTCCCTGACCAGGACCGCCTTCTTCCACCTCCACCACATTGCCCACCTCCGACTGTACCTTACCCCAAATGCAGCCAAAACCCTTGCGCCATGTGTTTGTCACCTCCCGCTTGGATTACTCTAACACACTCCCCGCTGGTCTCCCCAGCTCCACCATTCACAAGATCAGCTCATTCAAAATTCTGCCGCCCACATACTGACCCGAACCAAACTCCATATCCACATCTCACCAGCTCTGGCCCAGGCTCCACTGGCTCCCCATCACCGAACAGATCGACTTCAAGATCCTCACTCTCGTGTTCAAATCCCTTCACTCCCTGGCACCTCCCTCCCTCTCCAACCTCCTCACCCCCCAATTCACCACCAGCCACCTCCGCTCAATTGGCACCGGTCTCCTGCTCGCCCCTCGCACCCTCTGCTCCACCATCGGAGGTCACGGTTTCAGCCGCTACAAACTCTGGAACATTCTCCCTCAATCCCTCTGCTTTCCCCCTCTCTCCCCTCTTTCAAGTCCCGCCTGAAAACTTCCTGTTCGACCGTGATCACAGCCACCTCCACCCTCCCCCCCGGCTCCGCCACAGTTAAGCGCTCTGAGACGCTACCCTGCATGGAGGGCGCTATGTAAGTGCAAGTTCACAAGTCTCTCAAGCGAGAGGACCTGAGTTTGGATCCTGAGCAGGGTGAACCCTTAACGTTCCTCACTCCGCACGGTCTCTGTTGACCAAGCAGTCAGCGGGAACCCGGTCGTTATGGCGGATTGCTATCCAGGAGTAACAATCCTTTCAAAACAAATAATTAAATAATAATAATTTGGCCACTCAACTCGATCTACGACTGTTTGCGGGGACGTCGCCGGGGACGCAATTGGGGCTGCCGTGCTTTGCCCACAAAACACACGGTCACTACACTTTGCAGTGTATCCCGCGAAGCGCTTTGAGACGCCTCGAGGGAGACGCGATACAGGCGCCGGGTCCAAACGAGAGAATTATTATTATTATTATTATCAATGTTAGCAAAGCAAGACAGCCCCCAGCGAGTGAGGGCGACTGTATCAGAGTGGAGCAAATTCCCCCCTCCCCTCTCCCTCCCCCCATTCCCCTCTCCCCCCCCCCCCCCCACCCCCCGCGGGGAGGGACCTTTGTGGACTTTTTCTCGGTGTTGCGGCTGATGAGCAGCGGGTGGTCGTATTTGAGCAGCGAGTCCACGGGTGGGATCATCCTGCGCTCCCGGCTTTTCCCGCCTCTCCCTGTCTCTCTCTCTCTCTCTGTTGCTGCGGCTCCAACGCCGCCGCCGTTGCTATGGCAACGGATCCATTCCCCACTCCCCCCCTCCCTCCCCTCACCGGAAGCCGGCGGTGCAGCGGTGACAGCGCTCCGGGGGGAAACACCGGCCCCCGGACACATTAAACCGCGGACCGATAGAGTCACTGCCCCCCCCCCATTAGAGTCTCACAGCCGCCCCCTCCCCCCCATTAGAGTCTGACAGCCCCCTCCTCCCCCCCCCATTACAGTTTCACAGCCGCCCCCTCCCCCCCCATTACAGTCTCACAGCCCCCAGCCCTTTTCCCCCCACCCATTAATGGTATCAGAGCCCTTTATACCCAGGGATGGTGTCTGGATCTTTGCCTTCAGAGATGCCTTTTCACACGGAAGCCCATCGCCGGATCGCCCCATCGCCGCGTCGCCCCATCCCCCCATCGCCCCATCACCCCATCGCCGCGTCGCCCCATCGCCCCATCACCCCATCGCCGCGTCGCCCCATCGCCCCGTTGCCATGCTTAAATCTCCCAACCAGACAATTGGGAACTCCACATATAGAGTCTAGGTTTAGGGACATTGAGCTCACGGTCTGGACTGGCACATGGGGGGGGGGTGGAGGTGAAGAAGGTGGCTTTCCTCCAGATTTGATGTGAAACCAAGGTCCCGGTGGTCCGGTCAGGTGGACATTAAAGATCCTATGACGCTATTGGAAACGAGAAGGGAGTTTCTCCTGGTCTTCTGGCCAACAATCCCCCAATAAAATAATTGCCCACAAAACGCACTCCACTTTAAAATAATAATAATCCTTGCATTTGATATTGCATCTTATCTCGTCGTTGAGATGTCTCAAAGAATTTCACAGAATATACTTTGGCTGAAACGCAGCAGCCAATTGCACACAGCAGTCTCCCACAAACAGTCATGGATTGAGTTAACAAATTATTTTTTTGAAGGGATTATTACCCCGAAAAAGCAAACTAACAACTGGGTTCCTACTTATTGCCAGGTAAACAGAGGTGTGTGGAGTAAGGAAACTTATTTAAGGTTTTGTTCCGCCCGGAAATCAAATCCAGATCCTCTCGCTTGCGAGGCTAGCACTCTACATCCTGTAAGACGCTTTGGGATGTCTCAGCGTGAAAGACATTGTATCAAATGCATGTATTATAATAATAATAGTATGCAAGGATTAATATAATTTTATTATAATGATACAGGTAACTTCAGTTTGGTGTGGAAACTCTTAAGCATGGGTGATGGGTTTCCACATGTATCAGACACCTGGCTGACCGCCCCCCACGTTATAATTTAACGGGTGTAAGGAGTGGGGGCAGCGAAAACAGTACAAAAATTTACATTTATATCTGCGCCTTCCATTTCACATCGGGAGTGGGTCCCAAGATGCTGTAACAAGAGGAGGTGCAGATTCATTTGAATGTTTTAAAAGTAAATCCACTTTACAGTGTATCCCGTGAAGCGCTTTGAGACGTCTCGAAGAGGTGACAGAGGCGCTGCGTCAAATGCAGTGGTGTTATTATGGTGATGATGATGATGATGAAATGAAGAGCAGTGAATGGGAGTGATTGACAGTGAGCAATGATTGACAGCTCCTGACCCCGAGGGGGGGGGTCAGCTGTCTGACCTCTGACCCGGAAGTGCGGGCTCTGGCTGCCGGAGCCGCTCCCGGTTCCCGGTTCGGTATAAAATAAGATCATTATAATTTTTTTTACATTAAAACAAGTCTTTTTTTTTGTGTGTGTGTATTTCGTTTCTTTCCAGTTCATGTGTCGCCGGGAGTGAGTCGGGCGCCTCCCCCGGACCCCGATGCAGAGGCAGAGCCGGGCCTCGCGGACGCGGGGCGGCGCTCAGGAAAGGCCGAGGATCAAAGAGGAGAAGCCCGATTTTAGGCCGCAGCCGCCCAAGCGCTCCAGCTCCGGCTCCTCCGGCGGCAGCTGGTCCCCGGTCCCGAGGAAACGTTCCCCCGGGGACCGTCGAGGCGCCAGGCGACCCGAGGCACCCTTGAGACGGGTGAGAAAAACTCCCATTTGTTAATAACAATAATAATAATGAAAATATCAGCAGCGGGAAATCGTGTGCATGTGTTTGTTCAGCCGTTTGGCCTCTGAGTTCGAAGTATTTCTGGATTCGAGCCCCGTCTCGAGACTCTAATAATCTTTGCATTTGATGCAACGCAAAACACGCAACCAATTCACTTTACAGTGTATCCCCGTGAAGCGCTTTGAGACGCCTCAAAGACGTGATAAGGCGCTGCATCAAATGCATCGATTATTATTAACGCCTCATCATTTTGTCGAGACGTCTCAGAAGGCTTCGCAGGATTTGCTGTAAAGTGTAGTGTCTGTGTATTCTGTGGGCGAAACGAGGCAGCCGGGTGCACAAAGGGGTGTCCCACAAACAGCCATGATGTGAGTGACCAATTTTATTCGGGGGATTGTTGACCAGGGCAGTAGGAGAGAAAAAAAAACTCCCTTCTCTTTTTGAACAGTGCATGGGATCTTTATCGTACACCTTAACAGGTACGGACAGGTTCATCAGTTTAATGTCTCATCCGAAGGACGGCACCACCAACGATGCAGTGCCCCCCCCCGACCCTTTGTGCTTACATACCCCTCAGTGCTGGCTGTTCGAGGCAGTTTGTGGGACATCGCTCCATGCAAAGTTGGCAGCTGCATTTGCCTATAAAGTACATAGTCATTGAACTTTACAGTAAATTGAGATGTTTTGACTATGTGAAAGTTGCTATTTCAATAGCAAGGAATATGTTTTTGGTTGCACAGGCTTAGTGTCAGACACACAGAAACTTTATGCTTCAGAGTTTCCAAACTACAATGATTTGCACTTATTCATTGCTAGTCATGTAGGAAAAATGTCTGAAAGCGCCTTATAGAGGCAGAGTGAGAGGATTGTCTACTGAAATTCCCTTCTTCTCATATTGTGATTGCGATCTTTAACATTTGTCTGGATGGTTTCAATGTCTATGACAAAGGATGGGAGCTCCCAACAGCCCAAAACTCCCCCCCACCCCTCCCCCCATCGGGAAGTCAGCCTAGAACCAAGTAAGCGTAATTATCAAAAGTGGCCAAGTGACATGATGAGTCCAAATTTCATTGTATTGAAAGGGGCATCTGTGTGTGTTTGAGCAAACTCACTTTGATTTAAATGTTTCTGGAGTGACAGCTAGTATTTCTTTTCATCTCAATACAGGAACCACAAGATCATGCTCGAAGGCAGCACAAGGAAAGACGACACCGAGATCGTTCAGAAGGTGACGAGCACAAGCGTAAAAAGGATGGCCACCGAGACCGACGGAGAGAGGCATCTGACCGAGGGCGAGCTCACGATGAGAGGAACATGAGGCCCCGCGCAGAGCCTGGGGTTAGTGGCCGCGACCGGGAGAGCCTGCAGCTGAATGAGCAACAGGCAGAGCGTGAATATCAGAATGAGCGAAGGCGTCAGAACCGCCAAAATCTCCAGACCCTTTCCAACGAGAATCCAGAATCTGATTCGAGGGACAGTCAGGTCAACGGTGGCGAGAGCACGCAGCCAAAGGAGGAGCCAAGCTTTGAGCTCTCAGGAGCTCTTGCAGAGGATGCAAATACCTTTCGTGGAGTGGTTATAAAATACAGCGAACCCCCAGAGTCCCGAATCCCAAAGAAAAGGTGGCGTCTTTATCCCTTTAAGAACGATGAGCCTCTCCCAGTCATGCACATTCATCGTCAGAGTGCCTATCTTTTGGGGCGGCAACGTAGGATAGTGGATATCCCGATCGATCACCCCTCCTGCTCCAAACAACATGCAGTGCTGCAGTACAGGTTGGTGCTGATGTGTAATCAGAACGAGAGATTTCGTACTTACAAAATCTGAATATCGCAATCTATCTCTGTGTACTGTTCCCGAGCTTGACTGTAAAATTGATAGTTCTCCAAACCGTTACACTGATGTTGATCTACGCCACCACATACAGAATGTACAGGCATAAACCGCTTATGTTCCATGCAGTCCAGTTTTAATCTGCCTGACTGCAGTCCTGTGTTACAGAAGCTGCATTTTTCTGTCCCCAAATTTTTCTCTGCCATCTACTTTTATCCTCTGGCTTCTCTTGTGTGCCTTGCCCTCTGTTTTGTCCCTTCCCTCCTGGGTTGGACATAAGACCTGAATATCGACTTTCGAATCGCTGTCGGTGATAAGACAGCTTGAGAGCAGTAGGAGGAAGCCTTAGTTTCACTGATGCCAATTGATTTTGTCAGAGCTGCAACTAAGTTTACTGAAACTCAGGTTATCAAATGCGCAGAGCTCTAGAAACAATCACTCTTGCATATTATTAATCCTATTAATGTCAATAATTAATGCATGCAATAGTTTTGCATATTATTGCAGATTTCGCCCACAAACTACACAGTCGATCCACTTTACAGTATGTCCTGTGAAAAGCTTTGAGACATCTCAGTGATGTGATAAGGCGCAAAATCAAATGCAAGGATTATTATTATTAAAGTGGTGCTTGTAAAATCACTTAGTAACACAGCAGCAATGCAAGACTCTTGTCACTTCCCTTTGAAAAGGTTGCTTGGAAGTTCTTGGCTAGATTCGGTAGAAATTTAAGGGTACGTTGTTGAGGAATTCACACCTCCTACAGTTCTATTGCAGCAGGGAAAATCCAGGCCCTGATGTAGACCCTGCCTCAAGGTGGGCTTAGTAGCCATTCCACCCTGAATCTCTGGGATCACACCATTTCCAGCTGGTCTATCCTGTTTTTTTTATACAGAGATTCATGATGACTTTTATACCGGTCGTCTTGAGTCAGAAGGCTGTGGGTTGAAGCCCCACACAGCTCATGGTCTAGGCTGACATTCCAGTTCCATGGGGAGGTGGGGGAGCACTACATTGTCAGACATTCTATCTTTCAGAAGAGATTTTAAACCAAGGCCCCATTGTTGAGCTGGATGTTAAAGCTGGATGACACTATTTGAAGGAACTTTCTCCTGGTTTCCTGTCCAACAATCTTCTAGATGAATTGGTCATTCACTTCATGGCTGTTTGTGGGACATTGCTGGGTGCAAATTAGCTGCGTATTAAATAAATATAGTATACAATAATCCTTGCAGACGTCTCAAAGCGCTTCACAGAATATACTGTAAAGTGAATTGACTGTATATTTGTGGGTGAAACGCGGCAGCCAATTGCGCACAACAGTGTCCCACAAACAGTCGTGGATTGAAGTGACCAATTTATTATTGTTTTTTTTCTTGAGAGATTATTATCAGGTGTGTGGAGTAAGGAATCGAATCGAACCCAGATCTCTCGCTGCTCTAACCACTGAGCTACAGGACTCCATGCAGTGATTGCAATTTACAGCAGTTCCCTGTGAAGCAGTTTGAGACATTGTGATGTTGTAGGCACTGTATTAAATGGATTTATTATTAGGGATGGCACATACAGAAGTAATGGTTTATGTTTTCACACCTGCAGACTTGTGGGGTACACACGGAACGATGGCACGGCAGGCCGCAGGGTGAGACCGTACATCATCGACCTGGGCTCTGCCAACGGCACGTACCTCAACAACCAGCGCATCGAGGCCCAGCGCTACTATGAACTCCGAGAAAAAGATGTGCTGAAGTTTGGCTTCAGCAGCAGGGAGTATGTCATTCTCCACGAGTTCTCAGACACGGCTGAGGTGGACGCAAAACAAGAGCAGGATGAAGACGAAGATGAGGAAGTAGATGATTGATACGGGCTCCGCTGACTGACTGTGAAATCGGCAGTGAAATCTTACTTTTCCCTTTTAACTTTAGAGAGCAATAGCTGTGCTTCACTCTAACTGTAAGTATATTGGACTGTTCACTCCCACCCAGACACCCCCCCCTTTTCAAAGCCAAACCAAGTCATGGCATGTGAGGGCCCTCCTCATTCAAACCCAACAAAACCTTTCAATTTACCAAAACACACCTCCAAGTCCAGCTGGATTCAATTGCATTTCCCTTTAGACCAAATCTGTGTTCCTTCATATTTCCATGTTTTTCGGAAAGGTGTTGACAGAACGGTTGCAAGGAAGCTGGGGAATTGGCCACAGTATAAAATCTTGTGAAAGCAGCACCAAGTGTTAATTGACGATATGGGGTGGGGGGTGATATATTCATTGTTCCTTGGGCTTTGATTTTCTAGGTTTAGACCATGAATAAGAAGCACGGGCTGGCAATGTTACAGTAGTCACATCTTTGCTTCAACCCCATATTCACGCCTGTGTTGCTTTTCACGACTTTCTCCCACTCCCTAATCCTGAGTTGCAGTTAGTTGCCTGTCAGATGTCTCTATGTTACTATTCCTCCGAGAGAAGACTTTGGGTTGAGATTCTCATGTAAAACCTATCCTGAACCCAGATAGTGTTGATGAGCTTCTTGACTCTCCTACGCATTTACTTGGTGAGTAAGTACATTATAGAAAAGGCCAAGATTTGAATGTTTTGACTGACGTTTATTTTAAGGTGAGATCTCTTTGCAAAATATAAGATAATTTTTTTTTGTGGGGGAAAGAAATGCAGGGTCTTTTTCTCTCTTCCCCGAACTCCCAGATGCCTTATGTAAAAGTGAAAGATCGTTACACTTTTTGTTTCTGAGATTGGTCAGGCGAAAGCATTGACTTCCACGGATGAGGGTGTGAGTTTAATTCCCTGCCTGTCTGTAGATTGAGTTTTGCTGGTTTCAAGCCCTGTTTGGGGACAGTATGTTTGAAACCAGACCAGTCAGACTCTTGTCTTCAAATGTCTTGTCAATTGTTAAGGAACTGAGCAGGAAACATTGGAGTAAAATTTACTCCAATAAAAATCAAGATGTCTTTAGAGCACCTTAGAAAAAGTATTTACTAAATGTGCTGGTTACATCCAACGGTCGGCACCAGTAATCTCCCCCCATTTATTTTCATTATGTTGGCAAGCTTTTTAGAGACATGGAAAAGGTTAGGTTTGATTGTCAGCTGTCTGCCAAAAACCTTAACGTAAGGTCAGATCCAGGGCAGAATCTTATGTCTTTCAGGAGCTGTGATAATCAATGGGAAAGGTTTGGGGAGCACGGAATTTACAGACCTATTGCCCAGCTTGCTTAAGTCGTATTTACTTTAAGTACATTAAAGTATTGCAATGCCTTTGCTCATTGGAAAAATATACACTCTGGACCAAACAGCTCTGCTGCATGGGGGTGGGGTTGAGAAACGCCAAAGTATATTGATGTATTTGGGTGATCGGGACATCGCTTTAATTGCAGGATTGATGGCAACCAAAATTCTGAAAAAGACCTTTACTGCATTCGCACACAACGAATGTATGGCCAAAAAACAAGCAGTTGAGGGGAAGGGAAACACCTGTTTATATTTTTTTTCTACTTAAAATAATTACACATTCTCCCCCGTCCCAAACCCCTTTGTGAACAAACACATCTACTAGAGGTGTGTGGGTTTGCAAACCAAAGTGTTGCAGTCAATCCCCGAGTGCGGCAGTCCAGTAAACAAGCGATTGTCCGTCCTGTGATACCGGGTTGTTGCTGAGCAACAGGAGAGAGCAGTGAACAATGACACGGGTGTACCTTTGACACGTTTTGCTATTAAATGAAAACTGTTTTAAAATATCTGTCAAAATTCTATTTTGTTGTACCAAGGAAACTGATGTTTTGTGGATTGTAATTGTGCCTTTTACAATCTGCTGCGTTTTCCCTTTTTGGCACTGTTCAATTTTTAGTAAAAAAAATAGATTTCAATGCACCATGTTGCACAATTGTTCAATTCATTGTTCAATATATGAAACAAGCTGGTTAGCTAAAGAAAGGCACCAACAGTCACATCACTGTAACATCAGCGCTCGAGGTCACCAGTTTGAATCCTGGTCTGCTAAGGTAGCAGTTGATCTGATCTGGACATTTGCAACTATCTTTAGCCCCTTAAGCAGGAGAGGAAGAATTGGGAAGTAATTGCACTCTTGCTCACTATCCAGAGGCATCTGATAGAAAGCACATATGTAGATATTGGATTTTGTGCGTCATTATTGTGCAAATTGGCTGCTGTGTTCACCTACAAAATACAATCACGACCCTTTCCATTATATTCTGATATACTTTGAGGTGTTCTCCTGATGTGCTAGAGCACCGTAACAAGTACAGTTATCATACTTTGGATAATCTGCTTAGTGCTCACACATAAGCATGAATGAATAATAATAATCCTTGCATTTGATATAGTGCCTTATCACTTTGTCAAGTTATCTCAAAGCACCTCACAGAATATACTGTAAAGTGAATTGACTTTATTTTGTGGACGAACGAGGCAGACAATTTGTGCATGGCAATGTCCCACAAACAGATATGGAGTGAGTGACCAATTTTTTAATTTGGAGCTTGTTGGCCAGAACACCGGGAGAAACTCCCTTCTCTTTTCGAATAGTGGCATGAGATCTTAACATCCACCTGAATAGCGAGACGGGACCTCGGTTTAATGTTGTATCCGAAGGACGGCACCTCTGACAATACAGGACGCCCCCAGCACTGCATTGGAGGTGTCAGCTTATTTGATTCCAAGTCCTGACATGGAGAATGAACCCACAACCTTCTGACTTAGATGCGAGAGTGCTACCACTACGCCAGGCTGATTGCTGCAAAGCTGTTCTGGGAAATAAACGACTCTGACGTTTGGCCATACCATTTGATGCCTCTCTGTCTAAACGCAAGAGGGGACTCATTTCCCTGGACTCAAACTCCACTGGAACCGGAAGCATTCTAGTACTCACTCGCACAATCAGACCCGTCCTGACTCGCACATGGCCAACTGTCCAATCGCCAGTAACCTCTGGGGAGTGCAGCAAGGGGAGGGGGATGGAGGAGAGGACATTGACAATGCTCGCGCTGTACTGTAGGAGGTCGTGATTTGGGACTGCGTTTATGTGGGCTCAGATTAATTGTTTTTTTTATACAAATGGTTATGGGGAAAATTATTCAATAAACTGGATTACTTGTATATCGGTGTTCAATTAACCCATCTGTAGTCTTAGATTAAGCGTGCAAATGGTTTGGGGGGTTCCAAATTCTATTCAATAAACCAAACCATTCAATTAACCGAATTTCACTGTAAAAAGTGCCTGTTGTTTGTGTTGATTTGTACCCCATCAAGAACCAGTGTCTCCTAGAAAGGAAAAGCTGAGGAATTGGTAACTAAATATCAAGCTACACTGCACAATACAAAGCGCTTTTCACATTGGGAGAATGCCTGAATGATTACCCTAACCCTAACTTGTCAACAACAACTGGGTTGGAAACAAGAGAATATGGACAGACATCCATTCCCTGACTAGAACCGCTTTCCTCCACCACTGCCACATCACCCACCTCTGAACATTATCTCACACCTAAAGCAGCTGAAACCCTCGTACAAGCATTCGTTACCTCCCACCTCGATTCTTCCAATGCCCTCCTCGCCGGTCTCCCCAACTCCCCATAAAATACAACTGATTCAAAATTCCACTGCACATATAGCTCAGTGGTTAGAGCACTCGCCTTGCAAGCGAGATACCTGGGTTCAATTCCAGGCAGAGGGCGAAACCTTGGGCAAGTTTCCTTACTCCATATGTCTAATAATGATCCCTCCAAAACAAAACAATAATAAATTGGTCATTTTCAATCCACGACTGTTTGTGGGACATTGCTGTGTGCAATTGGCCGCCGCGTTCGCCCACAAATATAAAGTCAATTCACTTTACAGTATATTCTGTGAAGCGCTTTGGGACGTCCTCCTGACGTGAAAAGCGCTATATCAAATGCAAGGATTATTATTATTATATTCTCATCCATATTTAACTCCATACCCCAGACCTTTTTAGATTTTACGGGCTCTCTTGTAGAACAAATTGATGTCAAGATCCTGACATACAAATCACTTCGTGCCCTGGGCACCTCCCCATCTCTCAGACTTGCTTTCACCCGTCTCCACCACCCGCTGGCTCCGCTCGGTGGCTCCCGCCTCCTGCATGTCCCTCGTTCCCTACGCTCCACCGTTGGTGCCGGTGGTTTCAGAAACTCGGGAATTTTCTGACTCAATCCCTCCGCTTTTGGCCCCTCGTCCCATCTTCAGATCGCACGTCGAAAATTCCTCTTCGACCATGTTTACAATACCAAATACGATTTGTACAGCGCCTTTCACATGGGGGGGACATCCCAAGGCACTGTCACCTGTGGTCCGTCCCTCCCTGTGGTTTGGCATCAGGGCTCTGAGACACTCCCCCTGCGGTTGAAGTGGAGTCCTGTAGCTCAGTGGTTAGAGCACTCGCTTTGCAAGTGAGAGACCTGAGTTCAATTCCAGGCAGAGGGCGAAACCTTGGGCAAGTTTCCTTACTCCACACAGAGCCTAATAATAATCCCTCCAAAACCAAAAACAATAATAAATTGGTCATTTTCAATCTACGACTGTTTGTGGGACATTGCTGTGCGCAATTGGCTGCCGCGTTCGCCCACAAATATACAGTCAATTCACTTTACAGTGTGTTCTGTGAAGCGCTTTGGGACGTCCTCCCGACGTGAAAAGCGCTATATCAAATGCGAGGATTATTATTATTATTATTAAAGTGCTATGAGGCGAGAGTGTGAAACCAGACCAGTCCAGTAGGTGGCGCTGTGAGCGATGGGGTGCGAGGCGGCCTCCGGGCGGCAGGTGGCGCTGTGCGGCCGCCGCTCGCTCCCCCGCAGGCCCGCGGACCGGCCGCTTCCCCCTCACCGCCGCCGCCGCCGCCGCAGGAGGAGCTGAGCCGCCGCTGTCCGTGCGGGTGGGCGGGCGGGGGTCCGCGCGATGGCGATGCACAACAAGACGCAGACGCCGCAGATCCCGGACACCCGGCGGGAGCTGTCGGAGCTGGTGAAGAGGAAGCAGGAGCTGGCGGTGAGCGAGGCCCAGGCCCCCGGGGGGCGGGTGGGGGAGCCGCCGGGGGGCAGAGCCAGGAAAGGCCGGGGACTGGAGGCCTCTGGGGCAGCCGAGGCTTCTCGCCTCTGAGTCACAAGGGATGGGTTCAGACCCCACGTCGGCACTTGGGCGTCACATAGTCTAAGCTGAGACCCGACCCCCCGAGCAGCGCTGGGGGGGGGGGCGGCGGTGTCGGAGGCGCCGCCTTCGGATCAGACGTTAAACCGAGAGCCCTTCCTTTTTGAAGGGTCAACTCCCCCCCTCCCCCCTTCACTCCCCCATTCCCCCCCATTCCCCCCTCCCCCCATTCCCCATTCCCCCCCATTCCCCCCCCATTCCCCCCTCCCCCCATTCCCCCCCATTCCCTCCCCCATTCCCCCCCATTCCCTCCCCCATTCCCCCTCCCCCCATTCCCCCCCATTCCCTCCCCTCCCTCCCCCATCCCCCTCACCTCCCCCATCCCCCCATTCCCCCCTCACCTCCCCCTCCCCTCCCCCTCACCTCCCCACATCCCCCCCTCCCCTCCCCCTCCCCCCCCACTCACCTCCGCCCCCCCCCCCTCGGCTCGGGGTCAGACTCCCCCACTGTCAAGCGCTCCGGGACACTACCCCACGTGAAGAGCGCTGTGTAAATGCAAGTAGTTGTTGTTGTCGTCCCGTCTGCCTGTTCGGGGGATGTTCAAGATCCCGCGCGCACTGTTCGAAAGAGAAGGTACTCTCTCTCTCTCTGTGTCCTGGCGAACAATCCCCTTCCCCCCCCCCCCCCCACCCCCAAATAAAATGGGTCATTCATTTTACGGCTGTTTGTGGGACGTCGTTTGCCGTGTTCCACCTGCAAAATACGCAATTTTCTGTATTTTGGGGCGTGAAAGGCACTGTGTTTATTGTTACGATTGAACGCGGCAGAATTACGAGGTGGACGGAGCTGATCTTATTATGTCGGGTGGTCTCGAAATGGATCTTAAAGCTTAATTCTTGCAGTTTTTGATACAGCGCTGTATCATGTCATCGAGTCGTCTCAAAACGCTTCACAGGATTTTATGCTTTACTGGCTGTTTTTTTTGCTGACAAGTCGACTCAGCCCCCAAAATGTTTTTTGGGGATTGGATTGATCTACGACATTTTCTTTTCTTCTTTTTGCAAACTGTAGCAATGAATGACAGAGGAGGGGGTAGATTTAATGTTGCAATTACTAAGTATCAAATGTGGAATTATTGAGGGTATATTAGCAATGGTGTGTTAGCGCACTGCCAATAATAATAATAGCAATCCTTGTTTTGATATACCACCTTATCACGTCTTCTAGACGTCTCAAGGCGTTTCATATAAACTGAATTGACTGTATGTTTTGTGAAGGAAACGTGGCAGCCAATTGTGCACAGCAGTGACCACAAACAGATGTGGTTTGAGTGACCATTTTTTTAAGGCATTATTGCCCCTGGAAAAGCGATCCTCCAATCGACTAACAACCGGGTTCCTACTAACTGCGAGGTAAACAGAGCTGTGTGTACCAAGGAAAGTTGCCCAACATTTCGCCCTGCCGGGAATCGAACCCAGGTCTTCTCGGTTGCGAGGCGAGTGCTGTAAGCACTAAGCTACGGGACTCAAAGCTGAGTGATATCTTGAGCTGTCCCGACAGTGGGGATTTACAGTGTGTAAGTATACTATAGGAATTGCAGTGGAGTGGGAGCCAGGTCTGGTTGAAGCAGTGATATCCATGTGTTTTTACTGCACGTTGTGGCAGCAGTAAGCGCTTCATTATGTAATTATTAAGGGATGTGTTCACAAAAACAGTCTGTTTGGACCACCGCAATCGCTGCACAACTATTCAGCGAGCAGCTGAGATGTGTGGAAAGTTTTCGGGTTTGGCAAGTGTCCCAGTTTAGTTTGGTTGAATTTGAAGATGACGGATCTGATGGTATATTTCACACAAAATCTCTGGAAAAACAAAATTTGGTCACTCAATCCATGACTGTCAATGGGACACTGCTATGTGCAATTGGCTGCCACGTTTTGTCCACAAAATATATAGTCGCTTCACTTAACAGTATATTTTGTGAAGCACTTTGAGACCTCTCAATGATGTGATAAGGCGCTATATCAAATGCAAGATTATTATTACTATGTCTGCCTCAAAATATTCAATTTGTTTTTAATAATAGTAATAATTCTTTCATTTACTATAGCGCCTTATCATGTCATCAAAATGTCTCAAGCGCTTCACAGGATATACTGTAGTCCATTGAATCCATATTTTGTAGGCAAAACAGATTTAAAATTTTAAAAATTTATCTGTAGCCACCTAGTGATTTTTGACAATCCGATGTTCATTTTAACTCTTGAGTCTGCGGTGAAAGGGGACTCACACTTCGTGCAACAACAATCTAGATTTTTATGGTGGGAGGATGTCTCAAAGCGCAATTAGGTAACAGCAAAAAAAAAGCTCTGCTATCCTAGACTTTGGGAAATTACACATTCTGTTCTGAGTTGAAAGGAAATATTTAAGCAATTTAGATAATGTGCTGAGTTCTGTCCCCACTCCTGTAGATTGAAGAATTTTGTCTTTAAACAAGGTTGAGAACCCAAACACAGTCAAAATTCTTGTCTGACTATTTTGCCTCCACAGCAGTCATTTATTTTGGCTTTTTTTTATCTTTGCAGGAGACGTTGGCAAATTTAGAACGACAGATTTATGCTTTTGAAGGCAGTTACTTGGAGGATACGCAGATGTACGGCAATATTATTCGAGGATGGGACCGTTACCTGACCAATCAAAAGTATGTTTAAAAGCAAGAATCCCAAACCACAGGACTTGCTACAGATTCCCATTAAACATAGATAATCCATGCTGACATTTTCCAGTGTAGTGCTGGGGATAGTACCGCATTGTTAGTACACCTACATCTGACTATTCCTGGCTATTTGAAAAGTAAAAGGAGTTTTTCCCAGTGTTCTGCGCCAACAATCCCCTAGATAAAATTGATCACTTGCTTTATGGCGGTTCATGGGACAACAACTATATTGTATTTATATTTTCATGCACTGTAGCATCTCAGAAAGTTTAACAATGGCGAAGTTTAATGCTAAACCAGAAGGTAACTGGGTATATTGACGAGGGGAAGGAACATCGCTGGGCGCAATTGGCTGCTATGTTCGTCTGCAAAATAAGGTTACAGCATATTCTGTGAAGCACTTTGAGATGCACTCCCAACATGAAAGGTGCTGCATCAAATATAAAAATTGCTATTTATTGGATAACATATAAACTGAAGTTACATAGTGTAAGATTCACTATTGAATTCTGACATCAAGTTTGCAAGAGAACAAAGAGTTTGTTTCGAAGTCTTCTCAATTTATTTGTGATGTAAATTGTAGCAGTATTGACAGACAGGCTTGTCTCCCGGTCTGGTCTCTGAGCCTTGTTGTCTGACAGTGCAGTCAGGTGATATACTCCCTGTGTCTGCCAATGCCCTCAACCAGACACAGCTCTAGTAATATTTTTCTTTATTTTGATATTGTGCCTCATCACGTTATTAACAAGTCTCAAAGCAATTCACAGAATTTACTGCAAAGTGTCATAACTGTGCATTTTGTGTGTACGAAAGTGGCAGCCAATTTGCACGTGATGGTATCCCACAAACATGAATGACTGATTTTAACTGGCAAATTATCGCCCGGAACACCACAAGAAACTCCCTTCTCTTTTCGAACAGTAACACGGGATCTTCCATGTCCACCTAAACAGGCAGACGAGACCTTAGTTTAGCTGATCCTGGACACCAGCCTTGCGCTCCATCCCAACTCCCAGCTCGGGTGCAAACATTGACTGTCCAGTGCCTTGAGATTGGCCCCTGACTTGAAAGGCGCTGTATAAATGCAATTTGTTTTTGGTGGCTTTGAGTTTCTCTCCTTCTTTCCTGGCATGTGCTTGTCACCTCTCCCTGTTGACAGCTGAGATCAGGAACTCGCTGTGTAAGGAAGCTTGACGCCGCTAGTGGTGTGTGTAAATGAGATTGTCCAACACGCTGTGTTGCATTTCAGAAACACTAACAGTAAGAACGATCGGAGGAACAGGAAGTTCAAAGACGCTGAACGTCTCTTCAGCAAGTCGTCCGTGACCTCCGTGGCTGTGAGTACCCACCCATCTGCTTTGCTCCTCGAGCCCCAAGGAAAAGGCAGAGCAATAATTACCGTCACAGGTTTAAAATAAAACATTGTACCACACTGACGAAGAACAGCCAATAACCAGGGTGTGTAGTGAACATAGAGAAGCTGCTGAGCCAGGCAGTGCGAAGGAGCTGATTATAAAGCACTGTCGCTGAAACAGCTTCACTTACAGGCTAGGCTGGTATTGATGCCGTTCCCTCATGTTGTCAGGCAAGAGGACGCCTGCCAGCGCTGCGCAGACCTGTAGCAAGGCAACTAACGCTTCTGCGTCTTGATCTGTACAAGTAAACTTCATAGTTTCCATTCATTCTCAAGGAAGAGTGAAATAGCACATACATACACATGTGTACACACGGAGACACACACTCACTGGGTGACACACTCAAATACTTGTATGTATGCTTGCGTGCCTTCATACATAGTCACAGGCTCCTACGCAGTCATTGATGCATTCACATGCACGTGCAAAGACATGCACAGACATGTATTGTTAATGCCATTTTGTGCTGCTACAGTATACTGGTGCCTTTGTTCACACAATGTTTGCGGCATCTCGTTGCAGGCTGTCAGTGCTTTGGCTGGTGTCCAGGATCAGCTAGTAGAAAAACGTAAGTGTTGACACTAAACTAACGCCTATTTGTAACGTAGACCTGCCTCATTCAGTGGGCTTTGCAGTAGACAGGTGATGTTCAGTTTGATTGAAATATGGTAATACAAGGTTTAGTGCACTCCAGCTATTTGTGGTGAGGTTGGAGTTGGAATTGATGACAGTATTCAGATAGCATCAATAAACCTCTCAGAGAGCTTGTGATTTATTTTATTTCAGTTCGCTTTTTACTCACTCCCCACTATGCTGGTTTTGTAAAGATCAAATAACAAAGATTAATAACAGCCTCCAAGCAGTCCTGTTAACATGACATTTTGTAGGAAGCCAGGATTGTTAAACACCTTTTGAGGACCTACGGGCATGGACTGTGCAACGTATCTTGACGATATGGCACATGTACACTATTCATAAAGAGAAGCCATCGTACTAAGTATTATAATAATCCTTGTATTTGATATAGCGCTTTTCACGTCTTCTAGATGTCTCAAAGTGCTTCACAGGTTATACAGTAAAGTAAATTGACTGTATATTTGTGAGCAAAACGTGGCAGCCAATTGCGTACAGCAGTGTTCCACAAACAGTGACCAAATTATTATTATTGTTTCTTTTTCTTGAGGGATTATTATCAGTCGTGTGGAATAAGGAAACTTGCTCAAGGTTTTTCACTGCTGGGAATCGAACCCAGGTCTCTTGCTTGCAAGGCGAGTGCTCTAAACACTGAGCTACAGGACTCCCAACATTACTATACAAGCTCTAGGGAATTAGCTGGTTAATTTCCAGCAGTCACCCCAACACTCACTCTGGAGTCCCCAAGCCTGGACTTTTGCTAACCTGCGCCTAATAGACCCCGGAATTAGGTAATCAGGATATATCCTTTCGGGAGAGAGTGCCATTCCATTGCAGGCACAGAGACGTTTCCATGTGTAGGTTGGATGTGTAGAACTCTGTCTGGTTTGGAGACTCTTAAGCATGATGATGGGTTTCGGCATGTGTCAGATACTGGGCTTACCAAAAAATATGCTAAGCATTGTGTTCGGAACAATAGGTTTTAAATTGGGGTCCATGTTGTATCTCAAGGACTAATTGACAGTTGTGTGCTTGCGTGCATGTGTGCGCGTGTGTGAAATACTTTTATTACTGTTGCTTGGGAGGGGTGAGGGTTGAATATGCAGAGATACTGCCTAACCTTGACTCAAACCCTACTGTGTGGAATGTTGTAGGAGAACCAGGCAGTGGAACTGAAAGCGATAATTCCCCAGACTTTCAGAATCAGGAGAACGAGCCGAACCAAGAAGACACGGAAGAGGTGGACGGATCCCACCTGCAGGGAGTGAAGGCACAGAAAGCAGCCTCCTCCATCTCCTCTGGCAGCCATCATGGCAGTCACAAAAAACGGAAAAACAAAAACCGGCACAGGTAGGTCTAGCCCACAGCATGTCAGGTCAGACACGGCACCTGCAAAACCTCCACCAATTCATTTCTTTGACAGTTAAAGCAAAACAGGTTGTCAGCCAAGGGAAGTGTTTGCATCTGTGTTGTTGTGTGATGTACAAGTGACATCTTTTAACTATTCACTATGTTAATTGTGAAGGGCCCTGTCATTAAGGCTGCACTTGAATCATTCTAATTGTACCAGCGAATTTTCTTTAGGGACAGAGAGAAGTAAATTGGGCCCAGGTTCAATCCCCCAGTCAGTACTGAGATGCTAAGTGAGTTGATCTGAGTCACAAGTTTGAGGTAGGTGGAAATCAGCCACGTTTTCTACTCCTGATAGCTGTCCAGGGGATCCCCATGCTGGAAGTTGTTTACATGTCAAGTAGGGGCAGAGTCAGGCTTGCTCGCATGCTCTCACAGTTGAATATTCTGCCAAAACTCACTGATCAAGGCTATGCTATATGGATAATGGCCACTTGGCCAGGGCGTTTGGCACCTGTGGAACTGTACCTCAGTAAAAATTGAAAGGTCTTCAATAGAGTTAAACGGAGAGAAATAAGAAACACTTCAGACATTTTTCTTCCTCTCGCTTCCAGGACCCCTCCCTCACTCCCTTAAATCATTCCTTCCCTTCTTTAAATTAGCCAGGTCACATTTTTAAAAGAAATTGTATGATGTCTCTCACAGTGCCAGTGATCCTTAGCCTTTTTGTTAAAAGTTCCTATTTCTACCCAAAGTTTTAGCAGCTCTGATTTGGATGTTAACTTGTGTTGCTTTCTTTCCTTCTCTATGCTGCGGCCCAGCCCGTCTGGCATGTTTGATTATGACTTTGAGTAAGTTTGCTTTCTGTCAGCATCCGTACCGTGTTGTGTGCCAGTAATTCATTTCCCTGTCCTGTGGTGTCTAGATCATAAACCTCTACTGGCCTTATTCTCTTTAGCTGAATTTGTACCTTTATTTATTACAAGTTGCTATGTTGCTAAGCTAAGTCGGTGGAGAATTGAAACAGATTATCGCTGAGTATTAATACAGTCAGCAAAACACTCATATTCTGAGTATACGGGTAGTATTGAAGGACAGCAGCACAAATGAATCAGTTGTAATAATAGTAATTATCCTTACATTTAGTACCTCACCTTTCACGTCGGGAGGACGTTTCAAAGCATATCACAGGATATACTATAAAATGTAGTGACTATTTTGTAGGTGAATCAGGCAGGTTATAAATTATAGAAAGAGAACAGTGCAACATAGAAAGGGGAAATATCCAATCTAATGTCCATCTCCTGCTCACTCCCCACAAGCTGTAATAATCCTCTTTCTCAAGCATCTTTTTACTCTGCTTTTTAAAGAATTTTGGGCTTTGCTTCAACCACAGTTTGTGGGAGGGAATTCCACCTCCAGCCACTCTGTGTTTAAAGGATTATCTTTCCGAGTTCCTGCTGTTCCTTTTGAGATCATTTTAAATTCATGTGTCGTGACTGATGCAAGTAAACTGGCATTATTTACCCCGACATAATCGTTTATTATTATGAAGTTCTTGAAGTTTACAGAGAGAATTTTGCTATCAGTGAGTTTGTGTATTTTTGAATTGATAAATTGACTTTAAATTATAATAATAATAAATTAGCTTTAACAATTTCAAAGGAAACTCCCTGATGGCTCAGTTAGATAACCCGTTGCTTGTAAAGTCAGTATTAGGATTGTAATATTTTTCGTAATGTGATTCTGCAGTACTGTGCACGAGAGGGTGTGGGTTAGGCAGGTAAATTATCCTGCTCCATCTTGTAGGGATTGCAGGCCTACAGTTCACTTGGCAAATGTTTAGGGGCTCCCTCTCCCCCCACCACCCCGATTCCCCTCCTCCGCACTTCTCTCCACAAAGCGCTGATTGATGTTGGGAACAGTCCCACAGGAGCCAGCCTGACCCTGGAGACACACGACATCGAAAGGCAATCCTGCCCACACACGTGCACTTTCCAGCAGGGGACCAGATAGTGATGAGGTGTAGGAACTCTGGCTGATTACGTTTTCTCCTCCCAAACTCAGGGGCAAATTACAGTGAGATTAACTAACTCAGCAGGGCACAGCAATCAAACCTGCTGATCATTGTGGCTCAGATTCACCCCAGGCAGTAATGTCATCAACTGAGCCTTCAATGGAACTCCCTCCTTCCCTCCCTCACGCTCTCTCTCCCTCTCTCTCTTCCTTCGCCCTCCCCCCCCCCCCCCCCCCAACTGGATATTCTAAGGCAGGGATGGCCAACTTGCCAGTGACCAGAATAATGACTATTCTGCATGTGTGGAACGTGGCCACACATTGGCCATCCGTGTTCTCGTGGGCTGAGTCTTGAGACTCAGCCCTCGAGAGTTGGAAACTGAAACAGATTTTTTTGTGTTCAAAGGGTCAGTGCAGAGCGTGCATGAATCTGAAGTAGTTTGACACTGTGTACAATATAGTGTTGCTGTTCAGTAACACTGGATGGTACGGGGTTTTTTATGGGTGCGCAACGTATCTACAGACTAAAGTTATTCAATTTTACTTGCAGGATTGATATCAAGCTTAATAAAAAACCAAGAACTGTGAGTATGAGCTCTTTGCCTTTAGAACCGTTTTTTGTGGCATTTCAATGGAAAGTTTTGCATTGTGTGGATGGCTTTACAAGAGTTGTCGTAGTTTCAGCTCCAATATCAGTGACTGGTGTAGGCGTGAATTATGAATTAGAGACATAGACGTTTCAAGCATAGGAGGAGACCCATTGACTCTCTGCTGATGCTCATTCACCAAGGCCAGCCACTGTCCCTTTGTATAGTGCTTTGCATTAGGCAGTAGTGAATTGCATAATATGTATTCTTCTTTGAATAAATATGGCAATATTACGTCAGATCTAGAGGGCACATTGGCAACAGTGTACTGTGCCTGGAGGAGTTTCCTCACTAAAACATTGGGATCATACAAAGGAATATAATTCAGTGTATGGAGAAGGATTCAAATCTGTTCTAATCTAATAAAATGATGGAACAACAGTTTGCATTTATAAAGTGCTCTTCATGCGGGATAGGTCCCAGGACGCTGGCAGGCTTGATTGGCTGAAAGCCTCCTGTTCTGTACAAACAGTGCAGTCTCCTAGCCTGTAGTATTTTGGTCTAAACATGTGCCTGGTTAGGATAAAGACTGCTCGTAGCTGTCTGCATGGGGTTGCCTCTTTAATTCTCAGTGTAACTTTGTCTTCTCACCCCCTGCAGGACTATTAATTAATCCACTGCCAGTCATGGACGGCAATAGCTGGGTTTGATCCCTTAAGGCAGACGAATGTGCGCTGAACGCTGAATCCAGTTCATTCCAGGCGTCGCCCGAACTCGATACCATGAGAGGACTCGGCTCCCGAGATCCCTGCAAAGTCCCCGCATTCTATGAAATGTTGCTGTGAGACTGTATTGAGATAGTTTGTCATTTGTACCATGTATACATACCATCTACAATTGGATTTAATAGTCAATTTAATCTGTTAGTCTTGGGGGGAGGGCGGCGGGGGAAGGAGGGATGCAATTGATTGCTTTTTATGCCTGGTTCATCTCATTTTGACCATTTAACGTCACCCGTTTTTCATCACGCGACATTATTTGGAATAAAAATGAAGTGTTTATTTGGTAAGGTCAGACAGAGGTTCTCAATGCTTGTTGACATCATTGCTATTTAACTGTCACAGCAATTTTTGGGGCTTTTGATCAGAGGCGACTGTGAAACCCATCTCGTTCTGTCTCAGTCGTGTCTTGTGCACTTCAGAAGCAGATTTAACTCTGCCATTGTATAAAAGCTTCAATGACCCAAACCAGATATTGCTTTGATGGAATTCGATTTCAACTTCGCAGCCACATTTGGTTTTATTTTTGGAATCCATTGTTTTTTTGGGTTGCGCTTCGGAAATATTGTAGGTATAAATATTTGCCTTTTCAATTTGTACAATTATGACTTTGTTGTTTGGACACATGGCTTTATTATTTTTTTTAAAAAAGAAAAAATGGATTTGTGACCACTTTGTATTATAAAAATCCCTGAAACGCATTGCCGAGTTTATAGCATTATTAAGCACTGCCTGCAGTTTGCAAATGATACATCGGTAAAGTAAGACTGCCCTGGGTATGAGCGCAAAGGGCGATAAAGTGACATTGTGGTGGAAGTGTTTGAAATCTAGCAAATAAACATGCCAACTTCACATTGTTTTAATCCTAAATGTGTGTTACAACTTTCCCTGCTGTTTTGGCTGCCGCAGTATAAAGTCCAGAGCTCCTCCTTGCCCCTTCCGCGCCCCCCCACCACCTATCAAAATCTGCCTTAAGACCTACCTTTTAAACTGCTTTTTATCACCTTTCTATCCTCCCCATACCTGAACCCAGCTCTGGCTCTCGGTTGTAAGAAGCTCCAGGACACATCCTCCCAGTGTGAAACACGCTATTGTATATTAATGTAAAATAATTCTTGATTCACTGTTGGGAGCCTCCATGGTAAGTGGGTTGCAGTGGTGAAAAGTAACCCTTCGAGAACAGTCTTGTCAACACACCATTCCTTTCATACGGTGATTTGGGAGTATGCAGAACAAAGGATTTGAAGTTCTGGGTTACGATTCACTTGCAGTTAAGGTAGTGACTGTCCCACTGTGTTTGTTTACACGTCAACTCAACTATGCAGTTACTAAGAGTGACACAGCAACACCAGACAGACCGTGCACAGTCACTGCTGCTGGTTTCCCTGCAGTGGACAGATTGGGAGCTGGCTGTGTGTTGTCAAGATTCACAGCCCGGCCGAGAGAAGCTGGAGTCGAGCTCTGGGTAATCAAGAGTGCACAGAACCATGAGAATTCACTCCGGATGAAGCGGGACAGGATTTTGCTGGGATTTGATGGGAGATTTGACTGGTAAAACACTGCACTTTTTCAAGAACAGTCTGATACTGGTAGGATTTCATGCAGGACTGCAATCGCACTCCTTAACGTCAGATAAGTTAAAAGTCTCAACAATGTGATAAGGCACTATATCAAGTGTAAGGATTGTTTTTATTATGTATTTGCTATTAACTGTTGCCTCATATCTTGCATTATGCGTGTAGAGCTGCCTTATAGATGCTGCCAATGATTCCTAAAGGAACTTGTTTGGAAATATAAATATAAAGGTACCCAGTTGTGCGATTGTATTCAGCCTGTGAAACTCTAAAGTAGGCAATGATTTTTTAAAGAAAAAAAACGCTTTTCAGTGGAATAATATATTGTAGAATGATAATGCTTATACTCGTTATAGCATCTTTCATATTGGGAGGCGGTCTCAAAGCATTGTACAAGGTTTACTGTAAGATGTAGTGACGGTGTGTTTTGCAGTTGAAATCAGCATTTGCAACAGTTAACAGGAAGAATGAGGCTTGTTCCTATGGAGGAATGAAGACTTTCAGTGATAATGTGAGAAGGTCTTTTAAATGATAAGAAACAGGTATAATGTGGAATTTCAGGAGACTAAACGCTCGCATAACTAACCAAAAGCTAGAGGTGCAGTAAAGCACGATGTATACAAACCATCAAATAATCTTCCTTATTTTTACACAAAGATAATGTTTTGGAAGTGGAACGTGAAGTTTTGGAAGTGGAGTTGTGAAGCGCTTTGAAACATCTCGAACATGTGATAAGGCACTATATCAAATGCAAGGATTATTATTATAATTATCTATCTGGTTTAGAGGACTCAAAAGGTGAAGTGCTGGTCAAACACCCTGTACAACACTGTAGTAGCTGTCTGCTGGGATTGTCCCTACGGGATCCTGCCAATCAGGATTGACTCACACAGATTAATGTCTGCCTAAAAAACACACAGTCACTACATTTTATCCTGTGAAGCGTTTTGGGACGTCCTTCCGATGTGAAAGGCAAAGTGTCAAATTTAAGGATTATTGTTAATAATAATACAACCTGGATTGTTCACTCAATTACCCCGATGGGAGGGTTTACGCAGGAATTTGTTTTAACTTCTCTTTAAATTCTATTTGTGATGGTTCACTTTGAGATCATTTAATAATTCCTCTTGTGTAAAGTACAGGAACCGCTTAGAGCATTAAGAAAGTCACTGAGGTTCAGAGTTTCGAATTCAAGATCCTCATCCTCACCTACAAGGCCATTCACGGCCTCGCTCCCTCCTACCTCTCCGACCTACTATCCCCCTACCTACCTGCCCGTACCCTCCGTTCCTCTGGCTCCGATCTGCTCCACACCCCCCGCCCCAACCGCCCTACCATCGGTGGCCGGGCCTTCAGCCTCTCAGCCCCGAGGCTCTGGAACTCTATCCCCCAGTGCCTTCGCCACCTCCTCCCTCTCCTCCTTCAAGAAAGGTCTCAAGACCTTTTTCTTCGACCTTCAGCCTTCAGCTCCCCTCTCGACTCTCTACCCCCTCCTCGCTCCCTCCCTTCCCTCCCCTAACCCTGACCATTTCCCCCCTGCTCGGGTCCCGATCCAACTGTCCCGCTCTTTGGGACGTCCTCCCGACGTGAAAGGCGATCTATAAATGAAATCTTGTTGTTGTTGTTGTTTGTCATTTTACTCCTAATACCCTCACATCTTTTCCTTCAACGGGACTAAATTCCGAGAGAGACCACGATAAGTGTGGTTATAATGGTGACTGTTAAAAATATTGAATTGGGTTACAATTTCCACTATGCTCCCCGATCTCCAGGACTCTCTCCCAATTTCCTTCCGCTTCACACCCTCTCTCTCTGCTTTCTAAATCTTTCTTAAAACCCACCTCTACACCACACCTCAGGCAACTCACTCCCAGTCCTTCAGCTGCCACTTTGTTCATGTTCCCATTCAGCCTCCGTAGTGATTGTAACCTTATCCTACACGAAGGGGTTGTTTAAATGCATTGTTGATGCTTGTCTTGTCCTACGGTGAGTCCTGGTTTATATCTAAATACCTTTCTGATGAATTTCAAAGGAAAGTTTCCTATGTCTTATCAACCTGTGTTTAGTTTTGTGTAAAGTGGACTAGAGTTTGTGTGCGTGGTGGAAAGGTTTTCGCTGATTTCTGTTCTTACGATTTAAAGCAGCTGACATCCTCAAACAAACTAGAAATAAAACATCTCCAACCAAGAGACCACCTGTTTCTGTCACAATCTATTTATACCCCAACGTTACACTGCTTGTCTGTCTGCCTGTGTCTTTGAATGTGAAGATTTGTGAAACCAGGAGGAACAAATATTGGCTGCACTTTTTTATATATATATTCTTTCACTTCCAATTTTCTTGTTCTTATCTTCTCTCCTCTTTCGTCTTCTGTCTTTTTTTTCCACCCTGTCCTCTCCCCTCCGCCACTTTACCCCAGGTTTCTAGCAATCTGTCCCCAAATTCCCCTATCTCAACACCCCCACCCCGCCTTCAGAAACCTTGAAGCACTCCAATGTGCTACCCCATGTAAAGGACACTATATAAATTCAAGTTGTTGTTCTGAAAATGTACCTCTTCAACTCCATCTTTGCCCACCTCCTGCACCCCCCACCTCGAATCTCTCCCCAGCTTTGCATCCTACTACATCTCTGTAAAGTGTTTTTGAGACATTTGACTACTTGAAAGGGGCTGTCTACAAGTTATTGTTGCTGTTGTTGAAGACCGAACAAGTGTTTGTAGAAAGCTAATTCTGTATCTTTCGGTAGCATCTAGCGGGTGAAGCAGTTCCACAGGGTACAGTGAAGAGCTGTAATCCAGAGGTGGACGTACAACTGGCCAAAGAAGGGACATTAAGCAGAGATGGTCCTGCAGCACCTACGCCTGGCTCTAGCGACGATTCTCAGCAGAATGCTGAACTGGTGGAGGATGACGTTGGTGGTAACGATTTGACTAATCTTCCTTGTACTTCTCAGCAGATAATTCCGCAAAATGTTACTGTTAAAAAATAGTCTATTACCCCCTGGCTATGTGTTTAGACACTGGAACATGTGCAAAATGGACTGGAGTTTGTGTGTGTGGTGGGAAGGTTCTAGCGGCTTACAGGCTAATCATCAAAGCAAATAGAAAACAAATCATCTCCAACCAAGATTCCACCTGTTTCTGTCACAATCTGTTTATCCCTCCAATGCCACATTGCTTGTCTGCCTGCCTGTGCGTTTGAATGTTAAGATCTGTTAAACCGAGAACGTTGTTAGTTTGGGTGGGGGGGGGGTGGGGGTGGTTTATAAATTCCTAACCAGCCTTATAACGAGGCGCGATCGCTGGGCTGCACTTCCGTGTCGTGACATGACCGATCGTGTGATCCTGGACAGAAACCTAACGCCTTTCCATGTTAAAAAAAATTGCTAACTTCCAGGTCATCAGGTCACGTGCGCAGCGTTCCGCGAGTGCGACCATTGGTGTTTTCTGGGACGCGCGACTCCCCAGGTCACTGTGTTATGAACAAATCTACGTGCCTTATAATGGGCTCTATTGTACCCTCTCAGTACCTTATCCATATACACCACGACTGCAGGTTGGCAGATTGTGCAGGTGTAGTCGTAGCTTGTGTCGTGTGGAGTACACTGAAAAATAAAACATTACAGGTATTTATTAACTTCATAACACAAGTCAAAATGTGTTGAACCGAATGATAATGTGACCAAAAGTGACTAAGTCCCTCAAACCCTTATTATACACTTTGCTGCAGAGGGGAATCTAACGTGTGAACTCTCGTTTTACTTTGTTGCAGCGCAAACTGAGCAACACTGGACCGAGCCCAGATCCTCTCTGTTACTCAACCACTATAGTGAGTGTCTCTTTATTCTACAGGTTGTCCACACAGTTCTGTTACCCATTTATTTTTTTATCCAGTGCACTGACCAACAACTGAATCATGTGGAAGAATGATGATAATTGTATTCAGAAGTACTTCATTGCATTCAGTACAAGTGTTTAACTGTGTTTAGACGTCCGGAGGATTGGTGTGTGCGAGCGCCATCATTTTCACGACAGATAATAACTCGGCACCTTGTTCCGTGCAACATTTCCCGTAATGTGGATGGAGTCAGTGAGGAGGAGGTCACTGATGTCAGACATTGTTACACTCAACTCATCTGTAACAGAAAATAAAAATTCATTGTAAGACACAAAACAGAGGGTAACAGGACTTTGTGGACACCCTGTACATCCTGCAAGTTCAGAGGAACGTAGTAACTGTCACTCTCACATCGTACATGAACAGGTTGTGAATAACTGAAACATGAGCAGTGTTGCTCAGCCACACAGTGAACGATTAAAAGGTTCAAAATAACAAGAGCAAGAGTTCAATTGGAGACTGTCTAGTATTACCTCTTGTGAGAGTAGTCATTTAATTGTCGTATAGTTGGCACCTAGAGTTAAACCCAAACCCAGCTCTGTAGGTGCTTATTCTGAAAAACTATTGAGATTGTGTAAAACTGAAACACAACTAACTCCTAAGCGCTACACATTCAGTTTGTCAGATGAATATTGCATGAATTTAAAAAAATCTTAATCCCTCTCCCCTGCTCCATACACAGGATCTATTGGTATTGCTAACTGGAGCTATGGCCATTTTTGTCTGGGCTAATTCATTATTTATTTAGAGAAGACGTATTTGTCACTCACTGGAACTGAATCTGAATGAGACCACAGATCCCAGTGTTAGGATGTTGCAGTGATCAGTTCAGCTCAAAACTTGCTTCTGGTTCTATTTAACGTTAGGGTATCTCACAAGTGTATCTCCATCTCTGCCTGGCCTCGAATTCAAGTGCAGTGTTTTCTGAATATACACAAAAAGTCATCATCAGACAAAACCTAATCTAACTCACCCTACTCAATAAAACCCTCCAATACCATCTCATCCAAACACAATCCAATCCTCCAACCCATCCAACCCAAGCCATTTTTTGGATGAAACATCAAACCGAGGTCTCAGGACCACTTGCCTGGTTTCTTGGCCAGCAATCCTGCAGTCGTTAGTCATTAACTTCATGGGTGTTTGTGAGACTTGATAGTGTGCAAAGTGGTCACTGAGCATGCTTACAATACACCTGTAAAGTGCTTTGACACTCTCAACCCTGAAACAAATGTAAGCCAAGGATTGTTTATTTACCAGAATGTCATGTCCTTGTAGTGTATTGATTAGGGCACTCGCCTCGCAAGCGAGAGGGCCCAAGTTCAATTCCCGGGTAGGGCGAAACGGTAGGCAAGGTTCCTTATCCACACGCCGCTTTTCAAAAAAAAATGTGGTCACTCAATCCACGACTGTGTATGTGACGTTGCTGTGCACAATTGGCTGCTACGTTTCAGCTACAAAATACACAGTCAATTCACTTTACAGTATACACTGTGAAGCGCTTTGAGACGTCTTAACGACATCAAAAGGCGCTATATCAAATGCAAGGATTATTATGTTAAATGGAACTGTCAATGTTTTACCCTGTTTCTACACTGGAGGTCTACAGTATGTTCACAGACTCATTGGGATTTATTTTCTTGTCTTTTTTTGCTACTTTTTGTTGCCTTTTCAGGTCAAACATGCGGCAGAGTTCCCGGAGCTGGCATCCGGGGCAATAACAGAGCAGCTGCGAGTGCCACCTGTGTTCCTGACTGACTCTCAACACACAGGTAGGGGATCTCGTCAGGTCTGCACCTGACGAGATCCCCTGCACAAGCCAAACCTGATTACAGCTGATCACAGTGAGCGAGGCGAGGCAGGCATGGCTCCAGTGTGACTGAAGTTCAGATGTAAAGAGTTATCTATCATTAACAAACTTCCCAACAGCTGCAGACTTTTACAACCCTAGATATCACAGTCACAGTGCAGAACGAGATCATTCGACCCATCGGTCCAAGTCTACCCATCTGAATACAGTTCAAGATCCTGATCCTCACCTTCAATGCCCTCCACGGTCTTGCTCCCCCCTTCCTCTCCAACCTCCTAACCCCCTTCTACCCTATTCGCTCCCTCCGCTCAGCGGGCTCTGGCCTACTTCCCTGCTCACCCCACTATTGGCGGGTGGGCCTCCTGACACACTGCAACCACTCTCTGGAACTCCATCCTGCAGTCCCTCTGCCTCGTCCCCTCCCTCGCCACCTTCAGTACCCACCTCAAAACCCTCCTCTTCGACCGTGCTTTGAATCTCCCTGCTTCCCCCACTACTGGCCTCCCCCACCCCGACTCTCAGCTCGGGTACATAACTCTGTCTGTCCAGCACCTTGGGACGTCTTCCTGACGTGAAAGGTGCTTTAAAAATGTGAAATGTTTAAAAATGTTTGTTGTTGTTAGTGTTGAGTCACATATGTGCACCTTTTAATCTTAAAACGGGTTCGTTGAAACTAACAATCTATCTTTGTTTTATTGTGTCAAAAAGTTCAAATGTGCAGCACAGTTTGTCTGACTAATAAAGTCACTACACTTGACAGCAATTTATTTGAGACCATTGGAGAGCGAGCTTTCAGCCAATTCTGCCCCGCTTTCTGGAACTCTCCTCAAATCCCTGGACCTCACACTATCTCAACAACAACAAGATTCCATTTATTTCATGTCGGGAGGACGTCCCAAGGCGCTGTACAGTTGGGTCAGGACCCGAGCAGGAGGGAAATGGTCAGGGTGAGGGAAGGGAGGGAGCGAGGAGGGGGTAGAGAGTCGAGAGGGGAGCTGAAGGCTCGGTCAAAGAGAAAGGTCTTGAGACCGGCCTTGAAGGAGGAAAGGGAGGAGGCGGCGAAGGCACTGGGGGATAGAGTTCCAGAGCCTCGGGGCTGAGAGGCTGAAGGCCACTGATGGTAGGGCGGTTGGGGTGGGCGTGTGGAGCAGACCGGAGCCAGAGGAACGGAGGGTATGGGCAGGTAGGTAGGGGGATAGTGGATCAGAGAGGTAGGAGGGAGCGAGGCCGTGAATGGCCTTGTAGGCGAGGATGAGGATCTTGAAATCGATCCTCTAGGGGATGGGGAGTCAGTGGAGGCGAGCGAGGGTGGGAGTGATGTGGTCCCGAAGTCTGGTGCGGGATAGTACACGAGCTGCAGATCTCTCGCCACATTCAAAATCCATCGAAAATTCCTCTTTGACTGTCTTTGGTCACAAACATACTATTCCCCATCTTCCACTACTCGGACTCCCACTCCATCCAATGTAATTGCAGCCCACTCGTCATTTAATGTGTGCCAAATAGCCAGTCAGCAAAATATAGTCGGTACACTCACTGTACATTATTCTATGACTCACCAAAACTGCATTAATATCTGCATTAATATATAATTAATGTATTAATGTTATTGAAATGGTCAATGACATTTGATTTAATAGCATTCACTGTAATAATAAAATAATAATCTTTGCATTTGATTTAGCGCCTTTCACATCAGGACGACCCATTTTAATAACATTGACTGATACTCCTGATATGGGACATATCAATGCAGTTTTGGTGAGGAATAGAATAATGTACAATGAAGCTGGAAACGTGTTAAGATTTCATGTCAGACACCACTTGATGGGGAGACCAGCTCTTAATTTGTTTAGACTGTAAGGCCTGAAAATCAGATAGCCTTAGTCTTAATTTCCATTTTCTCTTGAAATTTCAGATTGCGCAAAATTGTAGAAATTTTTTTAATTCAGTCTTGATTTATAACCTAAAGAACTGTGGAAAACTAGCTTCCTGATTCACACTGAACCGTACATGTTCCACAATTCTGTGCAATGTTCATTTTTATAGACAAAATGGTTTTGAGGCTAAGACCAAGGGGATATTATGTTCAGGCAACTGATTTTTGAGCCAGTCTCTTAGACTCACATGTGTTTGGTTTAATGTAACAGAGGAACTGATACAGAAGGTTGTTGCTCTGCAAGAGAAGAGTGAAGAGGCGAAGAAGAGAATTCAGAGGACTGAAGAAGAAATCCAGTGTTTTAAATCGGAACTCGCCAAGCTCCAGGCGGAGTGGGAATGCAGATGCCACCAGTTACCAGCAGAGCAGAGAGAACCAAAAGACCAGGTAAACAAATCGCTTTTTCCTTCCGTTGTATGGCTTACTTGGATTATCGAATCTTACAGCACAGGAGGCAGTCATTCAGCCCATCGTGCCTGTGCTGGCTCTTTGAAAGATTAGTTCCGCTCCACTACCCATAGCCTTGCAATTTTTCTTTTTCAAGCATATATCCAAATGCCTTTTGAAAGGGATATGTACTTGAAATCAGCCCAGTGTCAGCCTGTGGCTCGGTGGATTGCACTCCCGCCTCCTAGTCAGAAGGATGTGTGTTCAAGCACCACGTCAGGTCTTTGAACTCACAGACGAGGCTGACACTCCAGTGTCAATAGTTGGGGGAACACTGCGTTATCTGAGATGGGTCATCCCTGGTTTCTCCCACATTCCTGGTAACCCATTTCAACATTTCATTCCCCTTTTGTTATTGTCACAGAGACAGTATTTTACACTCAATTCCCCAGTGACTTAGGGGCAGGGTTTTTCAAGTCAGGAGGACAAAACCAGTATCCGGTTTATATTAACAAATTAAAATACGCACTACTCGAAATAAATTCAAAATATTTATTATCCACAAGCATACAATTTGATGACACCCCAAAGCCTTAAATTAAGTCAGTTATAATACATAAAGTCACTTACGGTTTGAGCTGGGTGAACAAGCTGCTTTTTATTGGTGAGCGAGGTTAGGCTTGCTCACCCCCATTGATCAAATTATACCAAATACGTTCCACTAGGGAACAAGGGTTGTCCCAGCAGACAAGTCCCAACACCCCACAAACTCCTCCAGGCCCCAAATTGTCAAAGGACAATGTGGACCTGAACCATGTAAAGCAGGTCAAGCGACAGGATCTCCTCTCCGTCAGGGCAGAGCCAGCCTGAGCCTAGTGACCAAGTGAGCTCTGGACAAGCGCTCTGGGACGCTACCCTGCATGTTGGGCGCTATATAAATGCAAGTAATTGTTCTTGTTGTATTCCAGTATCTCCACTCCACTTAATGAGAGCAGATCATAGTCCTCAGATCAGAAGTGCTGCAAAACCGCTCCCAGCCACCAGAGGGGTAAAAGCATAGCTGTTGCCAGGAGCTCAATCCTTCCCATCCTCTTCCCCCCTCAGTGAGATTCAGTTGAGTTCAGGGGACCACAAGTGAATCTCAACAGGAGCATGTTTCTGGCTGGTGCTAGTCAAGGAGTAACGGATAAGAATAGAAACTACAATTGATTTTGGCTAAAAGGTCGCGCTGGGTGGGCAAATTGACCAACTCCTTGTTAGAAGTCTCTCCAAGGTAACTACCTGCTCAAACACCTAGTGTTTCACCTTTGTTGATGTACTCTGACACTCACTAAAACTACAGGAATAAGAGCCAGTGAGACTCCATGCAAATGATGCTTCATTCAGACTTTTTTTTGGTCCGCTGGGTATCTGACACACGTGGAAACCCATTACCATGCTTAAAAGAATGTCCAGACCAAACAGAGATTTCTATGCAACCCACCTGCACATGGAAATAAATTATTGGAATGCAATGTGGTTTCTCTCTCCCTGCTTGCCCAATTTCAGAAAGTATTAAGTGCAGGTTGGCAAGAAAGAGCCAAGGCTGGGGACCTCAGAGTGTGCATTGGGGGTACTGCTCTTATAGATGGTGAGGTATTCCTTCTACCTAAGGGGTGGCAATAACATACAGTGAGGCTCCGTTCAGACGAGTTTGCAGACCCCTGGGCCATGATGTCACCACCATCACATTATAAAGAAGTACCTAACTCACACTCGCCCTCGTAACTGAGCCAAAGCCATCTCGTTCTACTGCCTTGATCTTTCTGACAGTTTTGTTCCAGGTTTAATTTCTTTATCCTTATTGCAGATTACAGAGAATGGAGTTTCTCCCAGTGTCCTGGCCAACAAATACCCCAAATTAAAAATATAATGATCATTCACTCCATGGCTGGTTGTGGGACAATGAAGTCATGAAGTGAGTGGCCAATTTATCATGTATATTATATAAAAATAAACTCTGTATTAATTGTAATCACCAGATGCACCCTAACTCGAGTGATCAGACAATAATTAGAAAGGGTGAAGATATTTCATCAATGAGAATGAAGCCAATCTTCTTGTCAGAGAGAAGACCAGCAAGTCAGATCCAACTCCCAACAGCACGTGGGCAGAGAAAGCTGGACCTCACCAGCAGTGACAAGATAAGCATTTCCGAGTCAAAGGAAGGAGAACCTAGGACTAGCTGTCAACCTTCATTAGGTTAGTGACAAAATTGAGCTTGTCTCATTGGGCTTTAATTACATCGGAATTTACTACAATGCAAATTCACTGAAACTATTTTAAGGTTTGCTTGCCTTTTCAAAATCCAAATATCTCAATCATTTGCAGAACAAAAAAAGTCAATGTCTGTGCGTTTTTCGCCATCGCGGTGAAAAATGTTTTATAATGACAACAACAACTTACATTTGTATGGCATCATTGTGAATGGTAGTGCTGTAAGGAGAAAGTAGGTTGGAGAGATAGGGCGGTGCCAAGGTATAGAGGGATTTAAACACTAGAGTGAGGATCTTGAAGTGGATCTGATCTGTGACAGAGAGCCAATGGAGTTTGGCAAGGACTGAGATAATCAGGGTGTGGAATTTAGTGTGGGTGAGAATGCGGACGGCGGAGTTTTGGGTGAGTTTAATTTTGTGAATAGTGAAGATGGGGAGACCGGCAAGGAGGGCCTTTGAGTCGTCCAGCTGAGAGGTGACAAAGGCGTGGGCAAGGGTTTCGGCAGCTTGTGGAGTGAAGTATTGTCGGAGACAGGCAATGTGGCAGAGGTGGAGGAAAGCACTCCTGGCCAGGGACCTGATGTGGGGGAGGAAGGATAACTGGGGATCAAACCTGCCGCCTAAGTTGCATACGGGTTCAGAGAATTTTAAAGACAGATTGGGTAGGTTGAGGTCTGACCTGCAGGACAGAAGATGTCAACGGGAGCCAAAGATTATGGCTTCCATCTTGTTGACACTTAACTGCAAGAAGTTGTGCTCATCCAGGCCTTGACAAGCTGACAGAACATCGGGGGACTGGGGGACGCAGCTGGAGAAGTAGAGTTGAGTGTCATCCGCGTACGTGTGGAAGTTAATCCCATGTCTGTGGATGACATCACTGAGAGGGAGCATGTAGATGAGGAATAGAAGGGACCAAGAATGAAGCCTTGGGGTACGTACCCCGCAGGTGACTGGGCGGGGGGGGGGCGAGAAGAAAACCGTTTGCAGAAATGTAGTGCTGGCGGTTTGTAAGGTAGGACTCAAACCAAGCGAGTTCGGACCCACTGAGGTGGATGATGGAGGAGAGACAGTGGGGGAGGATGGCGTGATCGACTGTGTCAAACAACACAGAGGTCCAGGAGGGCGCGGAGGCAGAGGGAGCCCTGGTCACAGAAGAGAGCAGATCATTTGTAACTTTCACGAGCGCTGTCTCTGTACTGTGGGCAAGGCGGAAACCAGACTGGATGGGTTTGAATAGGGAATGGAGGGAGAGGTATGCATGAAGTTGGTTGGCAACAACGTGTTCCAAAGCTTTGGTCGGGCAGGTTTGAGATAGGGCAGTAGTGCCCGAGGTTGGAGGGATCAAGTGTAGGTCTTTTTAAGGAGGTGGGTGATGACGGTGGTTTTGAGAGGGAGTGTGACTGATCCTGAGGAGAGGGACTGATTAATGGTGTCTCCAGCAGTGGGCAGAGGAGGGGGAGTTGGGTGATCATCAGGGTGATGAAGGATGAGAGGGAGGAAGGAGAGATGGGAGTGTGTGGGGGGTGTGAAGGAGACAGAATGGGGGTGCGGTAGGCGACACAGGATGGGAGGGTGAGGTTTCCAGCAATGTTTTCTATCTTAGAGGTAAGCAAATCCACGACCTCTTCACACTTGGCATTCAATGTTATGATTGTGGGTGCTAGAGAGGAGGAGCTGGTGGGTGGTGGAGAGTAGAATTTTGGAGTTATTTTTGGTCTCCAGAATGATCTTTGAGTAATATGGAGTTTTTGCTTGCGAGAGGGAGTGGCGGTAGGTGTGAAGGTGCTTGAGCCACAGCTGGCAATGAACCACTAGGCTGGTTTTCTTCCACCTGCTCTTGAGCAACCGGGTTTGTGATTTTAGGGAGCGAAGATGGCTGTTGTACCAGGGGAGCAGGTGGGTTTGGAGCCAGTCCTGGATTTTAGGGGGACAAGAGAGTTGAAGGTGGAGGAGAGGAGATCATGGAGCAGCTTGACGGCTGCATCACTTTATACTTATTCCAGACACAAAGAGATCAAATCACAGAACATGTGGTAGACTCCAGGTTGCAGGAAAACCACACAAAGCATGTGGTCCGTTTAAACACTCTGAACACAGTTTCACACTCACTCGATGTTTCCTGCACATTAAAAAGCTGGAACTTTGACTCAATTTCAACATTCCATTCGGTTGGCAAGTAAGTCATTTTGGAGCCAATTTCAGCTCCAAGAAGTCACAGTCACTTGGCAGTCTTTCCTGTGAAGCACTTTGAGACATCTCGATGACATAAGACTCTATATTATCATGTTATGCATAATAACTGTAAGCATTATTATGTTTGTAAAATGTTAACTTTTGGGAGGTAAAAAGATTTTTTTGTTGCAAAGTAAATGCAGTTCCCTTTGGTTTTACAGATTTCCCGCTGGATCCTGATGAAATTGACCCAGAGGAAGTTGTGTCAATTACAGGAGAGCCGAATGGAAATCTCGAGCTCACTGGAATCCCTTCGTCCAGTTTTCCGCGCGGATGTGATGTCCTCCCTTCATCTGCACTGAGTTGCAATGTTTCGAGACCTCAATTCCCAGCCAGGTTAGACACTGAAATCCTAAAGTACATTTACGAAGCAGGGAAAGTCAAAGTCTAAATTGGCTTCATAGTATATACTGCAAAGTGAATTGACTGTATATTTTGAGGGATACAAGGGTTACCGACCCACCCGCCAGCGGAAATAGTTTCTCTTTGTTCACCCTATTGAATCCCCCATAATTTTTAAAACTTCTATGAAGTCTCCTCTTAATCTTCTCTGCTCCAAGGAGAATAATCCTCGCTTCTCTCGCCTCGCCTGATAACTGAAGCCCCTCATTCCTGGTACCTGGTCAATCTCCTTTGCATCCTCTCCAATGCCTTGACATCCTTCGTAAAGTGTGGGGCCCAGAACTGAACCCAGTCTCGAGCTGAGGCCTAACCAGTGTTTTATATAAACGTTCATCATAACTTCCTGACTTGTGTACTCTGTGCCCCTATTTATAAAGCCCAGTATCCCGGATGCTTTTTTAACAGCTTTATCTCCCTGTCCGGCCACCTGCAAAGATTTCCTTATATGACCCCCAGGTCTCTCTGTCCCTTCACCCCCTTTAAGATTGTCCCATCAGCTTATATTGCCTCTCCTCATTCTTCCTCACAAAATGCATCACTTCGCATTTCTCCACATTAAATTTCATCTGCCCCGTGTCTGCCCACGTTACCAGTCTGTCTATGTCCATTTGCAGTCTGTTACTATCCTCCTCACTGTTCACTACTTTTCCAGCTTAGTATCATCTGCAAACTGGGAAATTGTACTCCCTATACCCAAGTCCAGGTCATTTATATAGATCACAAACAGCAGTGGTCCCAATACTGATCTCTGGGGGACACCACTGCACACTTCCCTCCAGTCAGAAAAACAACCGTTCACCACACTCTCTGCTTTCCGTCTCCCAACCAGTTCTGTATCCGCTGCCACTGTCCCTTTAATATCGGGGCTTCTATTTTGCTACAAGTCTCTTATGTGGCACTTTATCAAATGCCTTTTGAAAATCCATATAAACTACATACCTTAGGGTTCCCTTTTATGTTACCCACTAATCTTTTCTCATACAATCTCTTTGTCGCTCTTGTTTCCTTTTACAGTTCTCCTTTGTACTTTCTGTATTCTATTTGATTATCTTCTGTGTTTTGGACTTGACATTTATCATAAGCCTCCTTTTTCGGTTTTATTTTAATCCAAATTTCCCAATTTATCCAGGGAGGTTTGGATGCCCTATTTTTCCCCTTTGTGGGAATGTATTTGTTCTGTCCCCAAACTGAACCTCCTTGAAGGCTTTCCATTGCTCGTTAGCTGTTTTACCTGCCAATCTTTCTTTCCAGTCCACCATGGTTAGGCCCCTTTTAACTCATTAAAATTAGCCCTCTTCCAGTTGAATATCTTCACCTTTGATTGCTTTCCATAAGTATTCTAAACCTAATGATGTTGTGATTACTGTTGTCCACATGCTCACCTACTGAAACCTGCTCCACTTGCCCCACTTCAATCCCCAGAACTAGATCCAGCACTGCTTCGTTGCTCGTTAGACTGGAAACCTACTGATCCAGAAAGTTATCCTGTTTAAGTTTAAGTTATCCTCTTTATCAGTTTATGATCAGACTGTTGGCTTGAGGGCTTAAATATTCGGATATCTGGGTTTGCCCTCACAAATTGTTTGCGGTCTAATGGAAATCAATTACTCACAACAACAGCAACTTGCATTTATCTAGTGCCTTTCATGTGGTGTAGTGTCCTAGAGTGCTTCACACCCTGGTGGAGAGAATCCTGCTCTGAGCTGTGATTAAACCCCAAAATGAACAGAGCTGTTTATTCCTGTTGCAGCTGGTGGATTAGTGCTACTTGCCAGCCTTGGTGTTTTTGAACAAATTATACTGTTATTATGTTATTACTGTCTTTGCATTTCATATAGCACTTACACAATCAAAACATCTCACGGGCAATTGCTGTCAACTGTATATTTATGGGCAAATGCAGCAGCCAATTTGCACATGGAGATGTCCCACAAACAGCCATGAAGTGGGTGACTACACATTCTTTTCTGGAGGATTGTTGGCCAGGAGACCAGGACAAACTCCCTTTTCTTTCTTTTTGAGTAGTGCCAAGGGATCTTTAACAACCCTCTGTGGAAAAGGCAGACAGTTTAACATCCCAATCAAAGGATGGCTCCTCACTTAATGCAATGCTCCCACCAGCACTACACTGGAATTTCTGCCTAGACTGTGAGCTCAAACTCTTCAAGGTGGGGCTTGGACAAAATAGTGAGAGGTTTATAGTCCCTGCAGTCCCTAGGAAACTCCATCCATGTGCATTGCTGCTGTTGCCCATCACATGTATTACATCTTATCCTCTTTCATGGTAGAGTTACTGGGATATATCATGCAAGAAGTGACAACATTAATGACCCGGAAGCACTGACCCTGGGCCATTTTATGATGTGCCGTGTTATAACATGGGCTCTGATCATACAGATCCCAAACCACAGCACTCTATTGTGGTTCAATTGTAGAATTAAGGACTGTAGCTTGTCTATTAAACCTTTGTCTGCTGATCGAGTTTCCATCTTCCCTCTCGCAGATTTCAGGCAGATATCAGAAGCAGACGGCCAGCCAAAGTCTTTGCCCCTCGTTCCATCTCGGAGATGCAGATTGGGCACCGGGTGAAGGTGATTCTGCCCAGCGGCAGAGTGGGAGCTGGGGTGGTGCGGTATCTGGGCCGATTGCCGGATGTGCCAGAATTCTGCCTCGGAGTGGAACTGGAATGTCCGGAAAACAGACAGAGAGACGGTGTGTTCGAGGGACAGTGTTACTTTCACTGGTATGTAACTCTTTCAGCTCCTGTCTCCAGCTCGGATGCCCAACTGGCAGTGCTTGAGACGTGAAACATGCTGACGAATATAAATAGAGTGAATTCTTCAATCGAGTCATATTTTGGAAGCCAGTATTTTTGAAAAAAAAACGTCATCCAGGTTAACACTAGTTTGGAGAATCTCCACAATTCTTAAATTTTTTAATTAAGAAAAAAAGACCAGATTGAATTGCGGGCTTCCTGTTTATTAACTGTTTCTGTACGTCTGAGAATCCCTGTCTCATTTCTCAGTAAAGTCCAGCAGTTCTCACTTGTGCTTTAGGTTACAAATTGCATTTTGGCTTTAGCACTGATTTAATTCACATTGTTTCCATGTGAAGGCAATAGGAGCAAATCAAGATGAACTCTGCTATACCTTTTGTTGTGACTCAGCCTACATTGAGTCTATAATCCGTCACCCAAAATCAGATGGAACATTGAGGTCTAATTTGCGTTATTTATTATTAAGATATCCTGTTATAATCCCTATCAAGCCATGGGAACTCGGTAGATCAAATCGAGCAGAGTTTCTGTGGGTCGGGGTGTGAAATATTGAATTGAACAGTAGGTTAGAGTGCTATCCTACTCAGCTGGAATCTCTGTCCATTACAGACAGTGGGGGAGAGTGTTTTCTGTCACTCTCTCCTTGCTATACAAATGTTGCTTCCCAGATTGGCAGTGTTGCGGAGGAGGAAATTTAACACAAATCCCAATATAATCCTGATTACAATCAGCGTTGTTCTCAGTATATGCAAATCCAGTTCTAGGCACACTTGTTTTGTTGAAAATAATTCCATCCCGATTTAATAATTAAAAACACGCTTCAATAATCCATTGATTGCACTGCAGAATAAACTCATCTTTTTGTTTCTGTTTAATCCAGCAATCTCAGTCACGGAGTGTTTGTCACCTTTAGCAAAGTGCTGATGGTTCTCCAGTAATTCCTGAAAAGGAAGATTTGGAAACTCATTCGGAGCTTCGAGAAACTTTGTGTTCATGTTCGGATTCTGGAACAACATTCATCAGGCACTGAGGAATTGAATCTCAGAATAATACAGCACTCGGACAGGCCATTCAGCCATTAATGCCTCACTGGGGTTATCCTTCACATGAGCTGTCTTCTCTTTGCCCACCCTCCTGCTCGCTCCATAAAATACAATAAATCCACAAATGTTGTGTTGTGAAGCACCAATAAACAATAGACTATTTTATATTGTGAATTTCAGCTTGTGTTATATATAATAATAATAATAATCCTTGCATTTGATATAGCGCTTTTCACGTCGGGAGGACGTCCCAAAGCGCTTCACAGAACACACTGTAAAGTGAATTGACTGTATATTTGTGGGCGAACGCGGCAGCCAATTGCGCACAGCAATGTCCCACAAACAGTCATATGGATTGAAAATGACCAATTTATTATTGTTTTTGGTTTTGGAGGGATTATTATTAGGCTCTGTGTGGAGTAAGGAAACTTGCCCAAGGTTTCGCCCTGACCTGCCGGGGATTGAACTCAGGTCTCTCACTTGCAAAGCGAGTGCTCTAACCACTGAGCTACAGGACTCCATACTGTACAGTGTTCTCTGTACAGTCTCTATAACTCCCTTCTCAAATAGCACCAAGGGATCTTTAATATCCCGGGACAGGCGTAGACACGATCTCGGTTTAATGCCTCTTCCGAAGATCAGCACCTCCAACAGCACTGAAGTGTCAGCATTGACTGTAATCTCAATTCCTGACTTGGGGTTTGAAACCACAAACACACTCAGAAGCGTGAGTGCTGCCAACTGAGCCAGGCTGACATTTGCACCCACAGGGCTTAAAAATTCTCCAACCAAATAAAATTAAATTATATAGAACTTTACAGCATGTAAAGAGGCCATTCGGCCCAACTATTCCATGCCAGTGTTTATACCCCATACAAGCCCCCACCCCTCCTAACCCCCTCTCCTAACTCCTCCTATTCCTCTTTATTCCCTTCTCTAGTACATCAAGTTTCTTAAATTTCTGCTTCAACCACAGCTTCTGGCAGTAAGTTCTATATTCTCTTCGCCCTCTGGGTAAGACATTTGTCCTGAACTCCCTTTTAGATCTGGTTATCATATTTATATGATCTGTTAGTTCTGTCTTTACAAAGACAGTGAAAAGGTTGATATTCTTAGTATTCAACTCTTGCTTTTATTTCCTAATAAATGCCTATCTCTGCTAAACAGCTTAAATGTCAGTTCCCCAGTACAGTAGAAGTCGGGTACATTGTGAAAGTGAGGATTTCTCATATTGGCGTTGCAATGAATGATTCAGCTGTGCAAATATTATAGCGCATTTGTGGACATTGGCTTGTGGAGTCTTGCAGCTCAGCGGTTAGAGCACTCGCCTCACAAGCAACAGCTTATGGGTTTGATTCCCGGCAGGGGAAACGTTGGATAACAACAACAACAACTTTATATAGCGCCCCCCCACGCCGGATGGCGTCTCAGAGCGTTTCACAGTAACGGATCCCGGGGCCGAGCCAGGGGGAGGGGGAGGAACCAGGGGAGGGGGAGGAACCAGGGGAGGAGCCAGGGGAGGGGGAGGAGCCGGGGAGGGGAGGAGCCCGGGGAGGGGGAGGAGCCCGGGGAGGGGGAGGAGCCCGGGGAGGGGGAGGAGCCCGGGGAGGGGGAGGAGCCCGGGGAGGGGGAGGAGCCAGGGGGAGGGGGAGGAGCCAGGGGGAGGGGGAGGAGCCAGGGGGAGGGGGAGGAAGGTGACCAAAGGTGCGGTCGAAAAGAAAGGTCTTGAACAGAGACCTGAAAATGGGAAGGGAGGGAACGAGACGAAGGGAGTAAGGAGGGGAGTTCCACAGCCTCGGGGCATAGTGGCTGAAGGCACGGCCACCGAGGGTGGAGCGGAGGACTTGGGGGACGAGGAGGAGGCCAGACCCGGAGGAGCAAAGGCAATGGGTACTGTGCTGAGGAGAGAGGAGGTTAGAGCGGTCGAGGAGTGCAGAGGAGTGCAGGGACTTGAATACAAGGCTGAGGATCTTGAAGTCGATCCTCTCTGGAATAGGCAGCCAGTGCAGTCTGGCCAGGACTGGGGGATCGGGAGCGGAGTTTCATGCGGGTGAGAATGCGGGCGGCAGAGTTTTGAATGATTTGGATTTTATGGATGGTAGTGGATGGGAGACCGGCGAGAAGGGCGTTAGAGTAGTCCAGCCGAGAGGTAACAAAGGCATGGACAGGGTTTCAGCAGCTTTTGGGAAGAGGTATTTTGGGTAAGTTTCCTTACTCAACATTTACTTAGCAGTAAGTAGAAACACAGCAGTTAGTCGATTGGTGGATCATTTTCTGAGGGTAATAATTCCTTTAAAAAAAATTGATCACTCAATCCGCGACTGTCTGAGGGACGCTGCTGTGTGCAATTGGCTGCTGGGTTTCACCCACCAAATATACAGTCAATTCACTTTACAGTTTATTCTGTGAAGCTCTATAGGACGTCTCGAAGATGTGATAAGGCATTATATCAAATGGAAAGATTATTATTATGCTCATATCTAGGGGGAAACATTGAGGATTAAACAATACCCAGATTTTCTGGCTGCTGATCAACATAAAGACAATAAAAGGCATTCCTCAAAACACTTTTTTTTAAAAAGAGTAATCCTTCAATGTATCAGTGTGGAAGAGATATCATGAGTTATTGTCATGTAGCCATGTAAATTTCTCACCTAGAGGGAGCGGGAGCCGTTGGGAGAGCAATAGACCACCCCGCCCCCACCCACCACCCCACTTCCCTTGGCTCCCAGCTCAGGTGCCCGGCCGCCAGCATCGAGCACTTCAAGACGTGCTTCCGACTTTAAACTTCATCTCCACATACTTCATCTCCTCCTAACACCTATCAACAGGCTCATTCCCTCCATTCAGTGGCCCCCGGCCTACTTCACGTCCCCCGCCTCGCCTGCCCCACCATTGGCAGCCAGGCTTCCTGCCACTCTGCCCCCACCCCCTGGAACTCCATCCTGCAGGCCCCCCGCCTCGCCCCCTCCCTTGCATCCTTCAAGACCCAGCATAAGATGCTCCTCTTCGACCATGCTTTCGATCACCCTCCTTCCCCCCAGCTCTCCAGTCTCCCCAATCCCAACCCCCAGCTCGGGTCCGAAACACTGATTGTCCAGCGCCTTGGGACGTCCTCCCAACGTGAAAGGCACTTTACACATGTAATTTTGTTGTTGTTGTTAAAAAAGGCGCTGTGTAAATATTGTTAATATAACATAACGTATCATAACATGCAGTAGCAGGAGTAGGCCATTTGGCCCTTCGAGCCTGCCCCGCCATTCAATCATGGCTGATCTTCTAATCTAACTTCAGCTAATAACCTGACGCTGCCTTATCCCCATATCCCTTAATCCCGTTTCCAATAAGAAATATGTCTATCTCAGTCTTGAATGTGTTCAATGACTGAGCGTCAACAGCCCTTTGGGGTAGTGGATTCCATGCATTCACCGCCCTTTGAGTGAAGACGTTCTTCCTCAACTCAGTGCGAAAGGGCTGCCTCTGATTTTAAGGTTGTGACCCCTGGTTTTATTTCTCCAATCGGGGAAACAATCTCCCACTATCTACTTTATCATTGCCCTTTGATGATCTTATAGGTTTCTATAAGATCCCCTCTAATTCTTCTATATTCCAGAGAATATAGGCCCAAATTGGTCAGCCTATCCTCGTAACTCATCCCCTTCATCCCTGGTACTAACCGAGTAAATCTACGCTGCGCCCCCTCCAAGGCAAATACATCCTTCCTTAAATGAGGAGACCAAAACTGGACACCTATCCCAGGTGTGGTCTCACAGGGCCCTATACAGTTGCAGCAAGACTTCCCTACTCTTATACTCTAATCCTTTCATAATGAATGCTAACATACCGGTTGCCTTCCTAATTGCTGCTGCACCTGCAGACTAACTTTCTGTGATTGGTGTACAAGGACACCCGAGTCCCTCTGGACGCTAACACATTCCAATCTCTCCCCTTCTAAAAAATAACCCGCTCTACTGTTTTTGCGACGGAGGTGGATGACTTCACACTTCCCTACATTATACTTCATCTGCCACCTCCCTGCCCAATCACCTAACCTATCTATGTCTCGCTGCATTTTTTTAATGTCGTCCTCTGTGTTGACACTTCCTCTTAGTTTTGAGTCATCCGCGAATTTAGATATATTAACTTCGATGTCCTCATCTCGATCGTTGATGTAGATGGTAAATAGCTGAGACCCAAGGACTGATCCTTGTGACACTCCACTAGTCACATCCCGCCAATCTGAAAAGGACCCGTTTATACCCACTCTTTGTTTCCTTCCCATTAACCATTCCCCAATCCATGTTAATATGCTCCCTCCAATTCTGTGGGACCCTATCTTTTGGACTAACCTTTTATGCGACACCTTATCGAATGCCTTCTGGAAGTTCCAAATAGACCATATCCACTGATTGACCCTTATCGAGTTTACTCGAAATATCCTCAAAAACTCTATGAGATTTGTCAAACATGACTTCCCTTTTGTAAAGCCATCCACTGATTCACCCTTATCTCGTTTACTGGAAATATTCTCAAAAATCCCTTTTGTAAAGCCATGTTGACTTGGCCTAATTATATTGTGCCCTAAATACCGCACTACCACATCCTTAATCAACGATTCTAAAATTTTTCCTATCACTGATGTGAGACTAAGTGGCCTATGGTTCCCCATCTTTTCCTTTCCACCTTTTTTAAATAGTGGTGTGACATTTGCGATCTTCCAATCCATGGGGACTGTTCCAGAATCCAAGGAATTTTGGAAGATCAGACATGAGGCCTCCACTATCTCATAAGCTCCTCTTTTAAAACTCTGGATGCAAAACATCCGGACCAGGGGATTTGTCAGTTTTTAGTGCTAACAGTTTCCCGAGCACCAATTCTCTAGTAATGAAAATTTCCCTAAGTTGCTCCCTGTCCTTATCCCTTTGGCGCATCTCTATTGTTGACAGACTGGTTGTGTCTTCTCGGGTGAAGACAGATGCAAAGTACCTATTTAGGGACTCTGCCATGTCCGTGTCCCCCATTACAACTTCTCCCATCTCTGACTGAAGTGGACCTACATTTACCCTCACAGCCTATTCCTCCTAATGTATTTGTAAAAACTTTTACAATCTGACTTAATGTTCCTCGCTCGCTTACCCTCATACTCCTTTTTCTCGCTCTTAATGAGTTTTTTAGTTTTTTTTTGCTGATTTCTAAAACTCTCCCAATCTTCAGATTTGCTTCTTTTCTTGGCAGATTTATAAGCTTTTTCTTTTAATTTGATGCTTTCCGTAACTGATGCTTTGATGCTCCAGTTAGCCACGGATGAATTGCTTTCCCTCTGGTACTCTTATTCTGCAATGGAATATGCGACCGCTTCGAATTATGTACTACATCCTTAAATATTTGCCACTGTTAGTCTACATTTTTACCTCATAATCTGATTCTCCAGTCTATTTTTCTGCAACAGAATGTTTCTGCAACCGAAACACAAAAATGTGGCTAATGTGGATTTCGGACATTACAAAACTCCGGCACCTTGCCATCAGCAGCCAATTTGCCATCAGCAGCCAATTTGCCATCAGCAGCCAAGGTTGGACAAGCCTGGGTTAAATTAATAATAATAATAATAATAATCCTCTGGTCGATCCCCATGCGGTGGCGCTCTCGCACATGACCAAAAAGACAAGAGGAAGGAGCGATAGACCTGCGAAGATATTGAGGCCAATTGAAAACGAAGCAGATGCACAAAGCATTTCATGCATCTCAATATACAAAACATAAACTTTAATGTTTAAACTGTGGTTAATGTCACTCCTGCCTCTTGTTTTCCTTGCGCGTGCGCAAGACACCACCCACCAGCGATCGACCAGGTGGAGACTCCTGATATAATGATTTGATTACATTTTGTACTTGTTTTAACAGAGATTGTTGGATCATACTTTGTCCATTTTCTTATCTGGAGTTGTACCCTCTTCAAGTAATGAGCATGAGTTATACAAATGTTACAGATCACAGAATGCTATGCTCTGCTGAATGAAGGAACACACACACTGCCTGAGGACATATGGCACCCATGAATGTATATTGCTATGTATTTCACCTGAAATGGAAATTATTAAATATTTGTAGTACTGTGCTTTTAAGTGAAATTTTTGCTGATGATTGTACTCTTTTAACCTTACTAGAAATGAATCATGTCTCTCTTTTCTTGCCTAATGTCTTTGCTGTGCCTGGTAATGCTATGCTTTCAAGTGAGGTTGTATTGATAATTTTAAGGTATTTCTCGGGGTGGACCTGCTGGATGTTTGTTGTCCTTTCCTCGCTTGGTTGGACACATTAATGAGGAGATGGGATGCACCACAAGATGGCTTGGGTGAGAGGTAGAACAATAAAGAGGCGCTGGTATGTGATAATGGGCTAACCTTGAGGTTAGTAATTGGAGAAAGTTGAGCTTTCTTATTTCAGGTCACTGTTTTTTAATGCAAAGCTGCCTTTGCTTATCAAAATCCATGTTTTTACTGTTGAGGTCAACATGTGGTCAGAGGTAGAAGGAACCTTTTGTTACTTTTTGTGGGATGAAAAGATAAAAGCAAGAAGGTGGTATCTGAGATAGATCAGATGGTTAGGAAGGATTAAACAAGCAAGTGGGTATAAAACCAAGCTGTGGTTTGAGCGCTTCACAATAACGGATCCCGGGGCTGAGCCAGGGGGAGGGGGAGGAAAGTGACCAAAGGCGCGGTCAAAGAGAAAGATTTTCAGCAGAGACCTGAAAATAGGAAAAGAGGGAGTGAGGAAGGGGGTTCCTGAGCCTCGGGGCATATTAGCTGAAGGCATAGCCGCCGAGGATGGAGCGGAGGATTGGAGGGAGGAAGAGGCCAGACCCGGAGGAACGAAGGCAACGGGTACTGTTTTGAGGAGAGAGGAGGTCAGAGAGGTAGGGAGGTGCAGAGGAGGGATTTGAAGACAAGGGTGAGGATCTTGAAGTCAATCCTCTCCGGGACAGGCAGCCAGTGCAGTCTGGCAAGAACTGGGGTAATCGGGGAGCGGAGTTTGGTGCGGGTAAGAATGCGGGTGGCAGAGTTTTGAATCATTTGGATTTTATGGATGGTAGTGGAGGGGAGACCGGCGAGGAGGGCGTTAGAGTAGTCCAGCCGAGAGATGACAAAGGAATGGACCAGGGTTTCAACGGCTTTCGGAGAGAGGTATTGGCAGAAACAGGCGATGCGTCGGAGGTGGAAGAAAGCGGTACTGGTGAGGGACCGGATGTGGGGGAGGAAAGATAATTGGGGGTTGAACCTGACTCCTAAGTTGCGTGCGGGTTCGGAGAGTTTTGGGGGGAGGTCGGGTAGGTGGAGGAGGTGAGAAACATGAGATTTTAGACTTTGACGAGAGCCAAAGTGTATGGCATCCGTCTTGTCAACGTTCATCTGAAGGTAATTTGCACTCATTCAACCCCTGAGATCTCACAGGCAGCTAACAGAACATCAGGGGACTGGGGGTCGCAAAGAGAGGTGGAAAAATAGAGTTGGGCGTCATCCGCGTACATGTGGAAATGTACCCCATGTCTGCGGATGACATCCCCAAGAGGGAAAACACAGCCGTCGTTGGTGGAACAGAGGAGATGTGGGATGTGTAGAAGACCCAAGCTGCCTGAGTGAAGAGGATGGGGAGAGTGGGATCTGAGCAGGTCGCAGAAGTAGAGAGATGCTCCGGGCTTGACGTGATTTGTAGGTGAGTGTGAGGTTCTTGCAATCAATTTCAAGTTAAAGTTCCTGAACATTTGCTTCTGTAAAAAAACACCCTTTGGCCATTTTCAAGGTGAACTTGAAGGTGTTGGACCACTGGATATCGATCGTGTATGTGGAAGCCCAAATTTCTCCAGATTGCTTCATTGGTGTTCACATATTGGCCCATCTGGTAGTATGTTATCTCGTCTCTTCGGGCTTCCTCCCGCTACTGAGTCCAAACACAGCCATGTCACATCCCCTGTTCACATATTTGCACGCATATTTGATGCTCTTAATAGAGTTGCAAAACTCAACATTGATGTGAGCGTTGAAGAGCCGAAAGTGATAGGGATTAATGGTTGTCTACTTCCACCAGATGTTTGTCAGTCCTGCATGGGATCCACCACCTCCAGTTGACCTCCGCCTGTGCAAAGGATACCCATCATGACCTGTTTGGGTCTCCTGTATGAAGCATCTTGGATATTGCATTGGCAGGAGCCATCTTTCACGCACGGAGATTTTCTGGTGAATTGTCCACATGGGCCGTGAATCATTTGTTTCTTTATGATTTCAAAGAGCACAGGGTCTCGGTCTGGGTTTGGCAGTTCTGCAGATTTGGTTCTGTCGATTTGGTTCGGCCGCATTTTTCGATGAGCCACAGAAGAATGAGGAAGACCACACTAAACCTTGCGTTTTGTATAGCGCCTTATCAAGTCTCAAAAACACTTCATAGGATTTACTATGAAATGAAGTGACTGTGTATTTGTAGGCAAACAGAGCAGTACAATTGTGCACATCAATGTCCCACATACAGCCATAAAATTAATGACTAATTTTTATTTGATAGATTGTTGACCAGGACACCGGGAGAGAGAAACTCCCTTCACTTTTCAAATGGTGATCTTTAACATCCACTTGAACAGGCAGGCGGGACCTCGGTTTACTGTCTCATCACCTCCGACAATGTAGCGCTCCCCAGTACTTCATTGGAGTGTCATCTCAGACCATGTGAGTTCAAGTCCAGATGTGGAAATTGGACCCACAACCTGACTCGAAGACAGGAGCGCTATCACTGAGCCAAGCTGAGATCTCTGCAGAATGGTTTCACTCAAAAAATGTACAGTCAATTCACTGTACAGTTTATTCTGTGAAATGTCTAGAAGACATAAAAAGCACTATACCAAATGCAAGGATTTTTATTATATTATGAACAAAAAAAGGAAATTGAAACCAGTTTTTGAGGTGCAAAACATACATAACGGCTAAATTATATAAAGTGCTGGTGAGACCTTATTTGGAGTGCTTTGTACTATTTTGCGCATCAAATCTTAGGAGAGATATACTAATCTTGGAGGGGTTTCAGCGACTTCAGTGGATTAAAGATGGGATAAAAGGGTTTGACTGATGAGTGGTTACTTTACATTCCCTGGAGTTAAGAAATATATAGGATAATTTGATTCAGGGATCGTGTATAAATTAATGAAAAGAATGGACAAACTAGATACTGGATAATTCTTCTGGGGATCCAAAACATACACATACTCTTAAAATTAGAGTTGTTAAAAGTGAGAACAGAAAATATTTTTTCAGTTTGAAAAGAAGTTTGAGAGATACTTGGCAACTGAAAGGTGTGAAAAAAGCAGAGATTGGGTTGAAAGTCCTGTCGATAGAATCGCATCATTTAGAATCATAGAATATTACAGCAGAGAAGGCCATTCAACCCATCGTGCGTGTGCCAGCTCTTTGGAAGATCTACTTTTACCTTCAAATACAAAATTACATTTGTATTGTGCCTTTCACGTCAGGAGGACGTCCCAAGGTGCTGGATTTGGACCCGACCCTCATAGCAAAACTGTCTCTTTCCCCAATGATAAACTCCTCTCTACGACCTCCCAACTCGGTCATTGCCTATGGCCAGCAAACACCGGCTTCCTTCATGTCCCGCACCCCCACCGTCACCATTTTGCCCCCACTCTCTGAAGCTCCTTTCCCAGAGTCCCTCCAACTAACTTGCTTCATCTCTCCTCGATCAAGGCACCTGAGGACCTAACTCTTTGATCATTGCTTTAGGTCATCTATGACTAAGTCAACCGGTAGGGAAGTTTGGTGTCAGGTCCCAGGTGAGTCAGCGGTGGTCACCTCCCTCCCTACCTGTCCCCTCAGGTTACCAATACCCTTATTCATGTTTCCGTTATGTCCAGGCTTGACTACGCTGTCTCCCTGCTCACTGGAATTTCTAACTCTTACATCCACAAACTGCAGATTATTCAGAATTCTGCAGTTTGTGTTCTCTCCCATACGAAGCTCTGGAAGCCGATTAACCCCATCTTCGCCCGGCTTCACGTTTCCCCAGAGGATTGCATTTAAGATCCTTGTCCTTACTTTCAAAGCCCTCCACCATCTTCCTCCTCTTGTCCTCCACGACCTACTAACACTTTAGCAACCTTCCTGTTCACTCCGCTCGGCGGGCACTGGTCTACTCCACATCCCCCACCAGCCTGCCCCACCATCGGTGGTTGGGCGTTCAGCCATTCTGCTCCCACCCTCTGGAACTCCATCCCCGAATCCCCCCACCTCACCCCTTAAATTGCCTCCTTCAAGGCTCGTCTCAAGACCTTCCTCTTTGACCATGCCTTCAGTCAGCCTCCCACCCACCTTGCCCTCCACCCTTCTTGATTTCAATCCCCAGCGCTCGGGTGCAAACCCTTGACTGTTCAGCGATTTAGGACATCCTCCTGAGGTGAAAGACACTACTCAAATGCAATTTGTTGTCGTTGGCCGCACTGAGACATTTTGACATGAATGAGGAGGTGAGAATATGAAAATGGAACCAGGTAGGGAAGTTGATGTGGCAATCTTCTTCAGAAAGGTAGACACAATTATGGTAACTGAATGGTCAGCCAGTGAGTTTTGAATATAGAATGTGCTATAACATTCCATGATTCAGGAATTTTATTGTGAGAAGCTTAAAGAAGTTTTTGCCATGATAAGAATCAATAAAAATCCAGTTCATTCTTTCTGCTGAAAGTGGCAGCATCTGAAATGGAGCTGGAAGGAGGAGCAATGTGATGCATAATGAACTTTCTTGTACGTCAAATTGTGTAAAGTGAAACTGAAAGTAGATTCCAGAAGGCAGTACCAGAGCCTCGGAGAGCAGTAGCTGAAGGCACAGCTGCCAGTGGTGCAACGGAGGATTCGGGGGACGAGGCCAGACCTGGTGGAGTGAAGGCCACGGGTATTGTTGTGAGTGGAGAGGAGGTCAGAGAGGTAGGCGGGTGCAGAGGACTCCTTGCATTTGATATAACACTTTTCACGTCTTCTCGATGTCTCAAAACACTTCACAGAATGTGTTGTAGAGTGAATTGCCTGTATATTTGTGGGCAAATGCGGGCGGCAGAGTTCTGGATGACCTGGATTTTATGGATGGTAGTGGAGCGGAGACCGGTGAAGAGGGCATTTGAATAGTCCAGCAAAGGCTTGGACTAGAGTTTTGGCGGCTTTTGGGGTGAGGTATTGGCGGAGACGGGCGATGCGTCAGAGGTGGTAGAAGGCGGTGCAGGTGAGGGACCAGATGTGGGGCAGGAAGGATAATTGGGGGTTGAACTTGATGCCTGGATTCCATACGGTTTCGGAGAGTTTTAGGGGGAGGTCGGGTAGGTGGAGGAGGTGAGAACCGTGTGATTTAAGACGTTGACGAGAGCCAAAGAGTAGAATGGGTATAGGTGGAGATCCAGGGCCACCTGACAGGTCATCTCCCTCCCTGTGTGGGGCATGTCACCGCGGGAGATGTTCGTTGTCTGGGCTGCGTCCGGACCAACTGCAGAGAGAGGCTCAGGGCAACCGGGATTCCAGCCTCAGATCCCGGGCAGGGAATTGGCGGAGGCAACGGGAGGGTTCGGGGAGGGGATGACGCTCTGGGTGAAAGGCTCAACGGGAAGGCTGTCGCTGATCAGTCGCGAGCGGCAGAGCCTCGAAAACACGTGTAAACTGAGCGGGACTCACAGAAGCGACGTCAGGCAGCGGCGGGGATCACGGTCTCTGTCTCCCGCGGATCGGGTCGGGACCGGCGGTGGCCAGAGCGAGGGCCGGGGCCTAACTTGATCAAGTCCTTCGAGGTAGTAACTGAAAGCGTAGATGAAGGCAACGCTCTGGATGTCATGTATTTGGGTTTCCAGAAGATGCGGAGAGAGGGCAAGTGAAGAAACTC